TGTTCTGCACTGTTGTTTTATATACAACTTGAAGTTGAGGGACACGTTTGTTATTAAATTTTTTGAGGACTTATCTCTAATTTTAGAAAAAAAGGCGAACCAATTAAATACATTGGCATTGAAGTCTAAGGGAAAATATGATTATAGGGGACATTCCGACATCAGGACACTATTGATGCACCAATTACGTCCGCATCTCGGAGTCTCGCTGTATTTTCAATTTCCAAGCATAATTTCCAATGCGTTCCCTTATACAGTAGTTTAAAAATGCATGAATACAATTGACAAAGGTAATGTACAAGGACGTTAATTAAAAACAAGATATATATTTCAAAATATTTCGTTCTACAACTTCACGTAACTCAAGATGACGTGATTAAACTTACCATTCAGCCCGTGTTGATGCTTGCTGCATACGCCGCACATCAGCATTCCAAGAGTCACAATATGTGGGTTGCAGGTGCCTTACGCGCGAACCCCCTGCCACAGGGGTATAGCACTTTCTGCGTACATAAAAAAATTAATAATGATAAGGGGGCAGGAGGACCTGAAACCCCCTGTATCTCACCGGGGGGTGGCTTGTGTGCGACGTCATCCATTTATTCATCCACTCACGATGACGAGTATAAATCAGACTGTCGTTCACGGGATACGATTCAGTATGCTTTCGAGAAGATCCTCGGATTCTTGATCTGATCTCGTCCGAATCAGGAAAAAAACATACATGTAATAAAATCTGAAGTAAGGCATTTTCAGAAATGCACGAATGCCGATTGAATTCCCGAACTATACAGATCAGAGTAAAGTCGACATGAACGAAGTTCAATTTTCCTCATAAATATTTGATAGCGGCTTCTTTTTACAAATTTTAGGCGAGGATCTATTGTATCTATATATAATTCCGACTTTTATTTTGGAACGTGACTTTTTTTTAATACCCAAAGCAAAAATTTCAGGTTGGGTGCTTTTGAAGGAAAAAACATTTTATTCTCAATAAAAATCGGTTCGAATTTTTGATGTAAAACAGCTGTAAGAGGGAGGAAATTTCTACGTCCCCGAAATTCGAGGGAGGTTTCTCTTTCAAATTAAAATACTGTTTTGTACTGAACATGAGAAATAAGCATTCAGTTTATAATTCATATCTTCCTCTGGGATGGGGTTTATCTAAAAATATAAATAAGAATAATATAATACAGTATGTGTGTGTTTAAAAAAAAATTCCAATCTCTCAATAATCTTTCCTGTTTCTCTACTCGTTCCTCTTTCCAAATTTAACCAGCAGGAGTAAGAGACGTACGTTTACCTCAGTTTTGCACTTTTCCCTGTTCATCAGAAAATCAATTTACAGTTTAATAAAATTCTCAATCAAATTTGTGAGTGAATTAAGAAATGTATACAGTAATTTTACGAACAATATTTTTCAAGTTAGTCCAGCTTCAGTTTGGCCAAGGGTTTTTTGTTGCCATTCTCATGATCCCAATCAAAAGTTCATGCCCAGAATTCAATTCGAATTAGGTTCGCATAAAAAAATCACGCGTGAGCATGGTCATATTTTATATATTCAGCAGTATTTCTATATGTAAATGATATGCAATGTTGACGTTTCGTTGGGTACGTGCTATACTACGGATAGAATAGACCAATTAAGTCGTTGAATTAAAATACACAGAAAACATTTTGAACTAATCAAATTCAGCAATTGAATAAGGTTAAAATAAAAAATACGGGATCTTCAAATATTGTACTGCATATGATAGGAGGAGTATATACAGTACAGCAGTAATGTGATTATAAACTATACAGTGCATTAGAAGTTTAGAACAACCGTTTCTGAATTTGTTTATCTCTTCTATAATTTTTTTCGACTACAGGAAAAAAAATAAACTTCCTGAGATTAAAAACAAGTCTCGAAATGTGGCCGAAGTTCGCGTGCATTTTATTCGCGTTGCTCTCAGGAATGGCAGAGGTCTTGGACGCCTTTCCGAAGCATCCAAAGCAGCTTCCAGGCAAAGATTTGCGAGTGGTGCCCTCTGCACTCGGTCCGAGAAGCTTCCAGGACATGGGTTGCAAAGGGGAGTACGATAAATTCGCGTTCGCGATGGTAGAACGAATCTGTGACGATTGCTACGACCTCTGCCGGGATCTCGACCTCATTTCGACTTGCAGGTTAGTCATCAAGCCAACACACACCCGCCACAGTTATCTTCAAAATATTGAACACCTACGGTAATATCGCAGCAGTATACGTCTTGAAACTTATTTTGCCTATTACTGTTATAATTATTACATTATTACTACCGTGCAATACAGTATTTTGCTATTTTTTTTACCCGACAACATCACGTACGAAGGTGCGCTGGGTTGATTATTTCATTGCCCGCAGATAAGGAGTTCTTTGTATTGTTCGTGCGTAATCTTAATTGGAGCATTTTATAAGATACCTTAACAGTTATTCAGAAGTGCCTTTCTACATTAGTGTGCACTGTACAGTCAAATCCTGCTATAAGATATGACCCCCGATGAATCGCTGCCCTCAGCATTCAGCAACTGCCAAAATTTTGAATTAAGCACACATCCTCAATGTTAAATACCCTAGAAAACTTCGATATTAAGGGACCACTGCCATAAAAAAGTGCTGTCTGATATTAGTTTTGTCTTCGTGTTACAACGCCAACAAATTTCAGTAGAATTACAATTTCCGTCTAAAATAATGCATTTGTAAGAATGGAAAACATATTTTGCGTAATTTGAACAATAGGTGTAGATCTAATTATAAACTCCAATTATATTTAATGGAGTGAAACAATTCCTCTTATGAAAGATGAATGCATTGATGTATATAACACCAATACTTTGAAAAATGTTTGTAGTCCCTGCTGATGACGTTTATGATGGTTGAGCTTTTTCTGGACGGTTGATTGGGTTTCTTTCGATTTGTTTTTTAATGCTGGATAATATGAACTTTTTTTTGTCAAATACCGCAGATTACTAACTGTGCAATGGTAATGTACTACTGTATAGCGTTGTAAAACTTCGAAGAGTAAGAAAAAATCTTGCGGACTTTGAAAAAAAAAAACACAAGTAACCAGCAAGCATGATGGGTTGTTTTGCGTTGCTCTGGTTAATATGGAAACGATAGTGGGAAAGGCGGACCCCTTATACATATCCTATGTTAATGATTCACCATCAGTGCGTACGAGAAATACCGTCCCCAAAATGGAACAACGAGCGACACCAAGAAGAAAAAAACTTATTAAGTGTAAGCAGTTTTCAAACTTTCTGCAGGTGTCGTTCCATGACAAGGAGAATTACAAACGATACGCCAGCAGATGCTCCGGTGTGCTCCATTCTACAGCATTTTGAACGATTTAATTTGATATTTTAGCTGCTTACTCGTCAGGTCAGAAGGCTAACAAGAATCGCTCAATAAATTTGAAGTCCGACATCAATACATAATGACAAAATGTATTGTAATTCATAGAAAGGAGAGCAACGCATTCAAGATTGTGATCATGGTAACAGCTCAGCAATTTGGGAGACATCAGGATCTAGACCAGCGGCGCCGAAAATTCAGAAGTGGCCACGGGCCATATTGAACAAAATAGAGCATTATGCGGGCCATCACAATAAAGAAGAATCCCACTGTCAAGTACAAATTCCTGACTCTTTTGGATTTAAAAAGCGATATTTGAAAGATATATAAATACTGTACTTGAAATATTTGCTGCCTATCCGATTTTCATGAGATTAATGTAATCTGCATCAAAATATTGTTGCAGTAAATCTCATAATATTGCATTTTTATTCGTTGAACTTGCTGTTCAGGCAACCACTCAATATATTTAGTTTATTTGAATTTAATTATACAGATTTTATCACAATGTTCTTTTCCTGCTGTGCCCCATGGCTTTCTTCAACAATATTTTCCTTCCGGCAATCCCTACAAGTATGTTACTTGTAGGCATTGCCAATTAAGATTACACACGAACAATTCCTACCCGTATGTCGGGCACCCCTCGTCTAGACATTATTGATGCACATTGCTTATTCGGGTCATCACTCGGCATTTAGCTAACCAAATGCTGAAGAATATACAGTATTTCCTGTACCACTAACCTTCTTCATGAGTTACAGTATTTGAATCTCATTTTGGAGGCGGGAATCTTCCAAGAAGTCCTCAACAAAACCCGAAATCCACGAAGAGCAGCATAACCCCAACAATACTCTTTCTTCCACAGAAAAGGCTGCTACCGGTCAGCCGTTTTCCAACTCTGCTTGCGTGCCACAGTCCTTCATCAAGAAGCCAGACAAGATTACACAGATGCTGTGGAGAAAATGTCCAAGAGCGATCAGCAATCCAGACACCTTCATTCTCATCGGCTTCAATCACTTCGAACATGAGCGCAGACGAATCGCATCAGGAAACACAACGTCAAACGAACTACTTCTGCTTTAAAAATGTCTGAGGGGACTCCTCAACCTCTTCAGAGTCATTCATGAGCCACATGTCTCAGCTGGGATCCTACATTGTGCCAATCGAATGTGTTCAAAGGCTTATATACTACTGAGTGCGATCAAAATAAAAATGATTCTCCGAGATTCGTTCTTGGTAATTTTTTCTCAACAAATGTTTATTTTTAATACATCGGAAGGGTTATGCTCATCGTAATAACGGCTAACTGAACGACACAAGCGATTACAGTTCTAAAAAATACTTTCAATTTCTCGCCATCTGCAGCAGCACTCATTTAGAAAGAAATAATCCAACTCGGAACAGGACGACGGGTAATTAAGAAGCTCAAATAAAATGTATTCAGGATGCTCCGTGTCCTCCCAAAGAATCTAAATTTGGGTACCCAAAAAACAAATTCACGGCTGATGAAGACCCTAGGGATCCGAGTAAATTCGAGGGGGAAAAAAAATCAATCAGAGCGAACTGTCGACAGCATAAACTCAAGAGGAATCCTTGAGAAATCCCTGAAACTAATCGAATAAAAAAATATATCGGCTGAACAAAAATATTCATTTGCATCGCCTCGATTGCATGGGAAAATCCCTTAATATCTGTACATACGCAAGCGACAATACAGTCATCAATCACTGGAAAGAATGAAATTCCTTCCACTCTTATCTCTCAAGGCACTCAGTGACTCGAGTGTTCGGAACCGTAATGGGGACTGTGCAAATGAAATCCGGTAACCAATCAATCACATCTCAACATTCGATCTAGAATCGATAAACACAAATTAATTCGAATGCACGCGCCGGACAATCGTGAAATTAATCTCTACATTCCGAAGACAGCACTCACAATCCAAATCGATTTCCCCCTCATCATACAACCAAAATGTTGACAACAATCGAGAAACACTTGCTAGACCCCTCGAACATTCAAATCTGGAATTTTATCCGAAAATTAGGGTTTTTTCAATTAACATTTTTTTTAAATGTATCAAACTTGACGCAGTCTGTACCTTAATAACGTGTTCGGGAATTGAGAACACAGCATATTTCATTGCTGATAAATGACACTACAAACAGGTATTTCTATAGGTTCAAAAAAGTTGACGTAAACAGATTTCTGGATCGCGATTGCGGCCGTGCTTTGAACTTGTCGTTAAATGCATAAAACAAAATCAATCCACTCCGCTGAATGAATCTTTGAAGGATGAAAATGTTCCGTAATATAACCATGAGAAAAAATTGCATCAAATTTTCTCAGCAATTGAAAACTATGCCATCTATATATTTTGAAAGAAAACAATATATGCACCTTGCTGTTGAACGAGAATAAACTAAGCGATCAAAAAGTTAACACCTCATGTAAATTCGACGCTCAAAAACAAATAAGTCAATAATAGCGTTCGATCCAACGTCGACGATGTAGAAGGAGAGAGACAGAGAACAAAAATAAAAGCTCTCCTGGCTTTTCTTCAAACGAAAGGGGATCTCAATCCTCCCAATCATCATCGTCGATATCGCTTTCAGAGTCGGAAGTTTCAGAGTCAGAAGGATTGAGGGCACCGTTGCGTTCTTCGAGGGCTCGTCTGAGTGCCCCGGCTAGACCATCACCGAAACCTGGGTCTTCACTAAGCTCCGATTTTGGCCTGGTTTCAACCTGAGGAAAAAAAAACGATCCGTATTAAGAACGAAAGTATGAACCCGACAAAGATCGTTCTACCAAAAAATTGCAATTCGTTCTTCACGCTCAAAATGTTGGAATGTAACCAGTGACTTCAACCTGATAGGGGATGCATTAAGGATGAATGAGCGAATAGTTAAAAGAAAAAAAACCTAGAACCGAATTAAAATAAAACGCTTCCAGAATCGATTTCACGACAAAATATTAATTGCAGCTTTCCGCCCTTAGGATACCGTTCATTTGCAAATCCCTAGTCATTTCAATTTCAAAAGCAAACGAACGCAAAAAACACCAACTAACACATTGGCGACAAAATCCAAATCATCAATTACGATCAAATATCTGCCCCGTCATTTGACTTCACAAAAAAGGTTGAAAAAGCTAAAATAGATCGAATAAGATTCCAGTAGTGGTCTACGAAAATGAAGCCGATGTCATTTAAAAGCAAAGCGAGAAAGATAGACTATACGTACTAGTTTTTTTTTTTATTTGGGGCATTTTAAGGAATAAAAAAGAACCGAAATTAAATTGAAGTTAAAAAGCTGATACAGATTATTAAACGAACAAGAATGGAAAAAACATCTGCTTGATCAGTCAAGACATTCATCAGTTCCATCGATTCAATTGCTCGACATTTAAAAATTACTACTAAAAATTGTTGAGATCAGATGATTGTTCAATTTTCAAACCCCCTGAATTTCCATTCCTTCAGTTAAGATTATCAATATCGTAAGTAATAGAAACGCGCAGTTGTAGTATTTATATTTTTTCAACATACCCGATTCAACGTGACACCCTTCCGAATGTCATCCAACAGAGCAGATCGTCCGTCTGCAACGACTGGAACTTGGCGTTCTTCTTTGGGGGCGTTGTTGACACGCTGTGAAGAAGAAAACGGATCATACCGTAAATTAAGAGCTTTAGAACGGGTGAAGAACCCACCTGAATATAAGATAGGATACCGTAAATAAGCCATCAAACAACGTTTTCAGTGATTGAAAGACAAAGCCGTCAGGATTTGACCCCACAATTTCAAACCATACTTACAAAGAATTTAGACGATCTCTTTGACTTTCTAATAGACTGCCATCACATTCAAAATTGCTTTTACGAATATTTAATAACCTCTCAATTCTCAGATGTTGACTTCATCACCTTTTCATAGGTAAAAATAAAACTTCCTCGTAACTCTAAAATACGCTTTCACTTACAGTTGCCTCAAAATACACCAAATTTTGTACTTCTATAAAAGGGATGGATAAAAAAAAATTCAAATCGGGTTAATTCCTTAAAAATGAATGAGACGACAATAATGGAGACTCCCTGAAATTGTAATTGATGTAGATATAACCCAGCAAATAATATCCACACTCATAAAAATGTTCACAAAAAAGTCACACCCAAAATGTGGCAAGATGTTTTTTTCTTCGCGTTTGGATATGTAACTTATTTTGCAAATAAAAACCGACCTTCAGAGGCTTCCCAGCACGAATCTCCTGCAGCAAATCCCCTCGAACGTCAGAAAGAACCGCAGCTGGCAGAGACGGAGACGGCGCTGCAAAATCGGAACTTTCCGGCTTCGGCATCGTGGACATTGGCGGCGGAATCGGGGGCAACGGAGGCGGTGGAGGAGCGCTGACACCAGTTGGCTGAAACACCGGCATAGGAGGCGGCGGTGGAGGACGAGGTCCTGTCATCAGTGGTCCAGGTGGCGGCGGTGGTGGCGGAGGAACAACGGCCGCCTGGACTGGAGAGCTTCGCATGCTTGTCATGAGGCCACCATTCGTTTCTTGCAAAAGCATTAAAATCCACGATCAGAATGTTGATTTTGACAATCAATGCACATGCTTTCAACCATGAACGCATTTCATTTCATTAGTCCGAGGCACTAATGTAGAACGGTGTGACTTGTAAAACATGAAATGAACGATGAATGTCCAGAAAACAACTACTGCACACATCATTTTTTGGACAATATTATCGCAAACATTGAAACGTTTCTTATCCTTGAAAAATTATGGCTGCACACAGAACATGTTGACGATCACACAAAGTCAGCGTACTGTCTCGCGCTGATTTTTTTGGAGATCAAAATTTTGAGCATTTCCTGACGAATTTGAAATCAGCTGCATGGGATGAACATGTGAAATGTTTCACTGTTGTCATTTTATTTTTTCCTGGGACAATGAAAAAACAATGACATGGATTTGTTACAAAAAATACAAACGCAAATGCTTCGTCATGCAGATTGTGGCACTCTTCATGCTATGACGTGGGGAAAAATCATCAAGTAAACTAGGTACTGTACATGAAACTTCCGTGATTCAATGATTATCAGGCAATGAGTTTCACATCCAATCAAATCACACACAGCATTTAAGAAACCTGAATCTGCTGGATCTGAGAAGGATATCAACTCCTCTTCCCAGGAATTTGAGTTTTCTTCTTCATCAACTTTGGTCTTACGACACAGAAACTCTGGCTTCGGTGGGATCGGAGGTTCGGGTGGTCTCACATTCGGACGCACAATTTTGCTTCGGTTCGCTTAAAAATTCATACACAGTATCGTGAAAATATAGGCAATGTTCTCACGCAAAAATCCACACCGCTCAACGTCGGCTGATCAGAAATATCGTCTAGCGGCGGGTTTCTTCCAAAATGCATGAATTCATAAAAATTTTCAGTTTTAGTAGCAATGTCGGGGATACTGAGAAAATTGACGATATGGTACTGACATTCGTGGAGCAATGCACACAGGAAAAATACTTCCCATTAAGCACTCAAAGGGCGATCGCAAATTTTTGTCTGACATCCGCCAATTAATTCGGAACAGCGTCATGTCGTTGGTTCATCGAAGTAATCAAACGCTCATAAATTTTTATGAGGAAAATACGCCAAAAGAAAATCGAGAAACTATAAATTGTTAACTCACTCTGCATTGGTGGGGAAGGAGCTGGCTGTTGACGAGTACGCTGAGGCGGCGTGGGCGGCACCGCGGGCGGCAGCGTAGAAGCAACCGTAGGTTTAACCGGTGCCTGTCGCATGGGGATCGGTGGAGGGGCGGCCCTGGCCCTCTGAATTGCTTCGAGCCCACCATTCTGGTCAATGAAGTCGTAAATGAATCTGGCCGTGCCTTCGTCTTTCAAAACCTTCTTGGATATCCCGGCTTTCTCCAGAAACTCTTCAAATTCCGGTTGCATGTTCTCAACTGCGAAGCCCTTCTCGCTATCCCAGCCCACGTGGGCAACATGGCGGAAGTCAGTCGGAATTCCAATGTCGGTTTTCGATAATTTCCCCTTCTTTTTCTCAGGGCGCTTCGCCTCGTACTTGGACAAAGTAGTCGAGCGTTGCACGAAATCAACCGGCTTGGCAGGAGCGAAAACAGAGTTCCCGTTCAGTGTTCCCGATGAATATTTCGTAGCAGCAGGAAGAGTGGAGAAATTGCCCGGGGGCGATTTGTGCTTCTTTGATTGATTCCTCCCTGAAAAAAAAAAAAAATATATATACATGGTACACATACAGTATATACTGTATATGGAACAGATTGGGTACTGTATATCAACAATCACCAATGTCATTAAAAGCCAATCAAAAAAATACTTTAATAAAGAAAATAGTCGCACGTTTTGCCTTTCTGCTTTCGATTTTCTCGCGCACAACGACATTGAAACGATGCGCTTCCAATTCATCGGCAAAGTTGAGTCCGATGACCGCTTCTTCGCCTTCGAACGTGTGGAAGAACGGTTTCTGAGCATAGTAATCGAAGTTCGAATACATTTCTTCTTCGAAAAGCATTTGAGTGGTGAAGATATCGTAGACACGAATGAAGTATGACCGTTTGTTACTATCTTTGATAAAGGTCGCAACGCCAACACATTCCTTCCTCCACATCCCCTTCGAAGCAACGAACACTTGGACCACCGCAGACGCCAGTGACTGAAAAAAAAGAAAACCGATACATCAGATCAAGCTTCCACTCTTCGTAGACAAGTTTGGCAGCAACATTTTACCCGAGAAAAGGTTAAATGCATGGTTACAAAAAATCTGGACGGAAACAGCAGCAGTGTGAACAGTCAAAAATATTCAAGCATCATCAAGCTTGAAATTATTTTACTGATCATTTTAATCCCTAACTTCGCTTTGAAAATCATCAGGAAGGTGGTTTTTTTTAAATAACCTGCATAAGCAGAAACCAATTTGAGATATGCCAAACCGAAAGATAACTGCGTCGACGAAGATATTCCCCGTCGAAAAGGCAATCGTGGAATTATGGTTTTTTTTCCAGATAGACAGTACTTCACTGCACTTCATCGAGGGCAAAAACTGTTAACACTAATTCCACTCATACTCGCGGATATCAGAAATACGTAATAAGAATGAAGAGGTAATCCTTCGAACGAAAAAGGCAAAAAATACTGTTCGAGACTCTCTCTTACCACGCAGCGGTTCCCAACCAGCATGAACAAAGTATGATTTTCTTCATCTGTACAGAGGCGGGCGCCGACATTTTCACACCTCTGGCTAGCACGGCGAGGGTCGGATGACATGGTTGACATTAAATGATTCGGAGCATTCACCATCACGCAGCGCAACACTGCCTTCTACTCGCTAACACGCTAAACCAAAAACAGGATCATTCAAACTCGAACTCTGAAACATAAAAGCAGAAACTGAATCAAATCTTCAGCAATCTAAATGCAAACATAGAAATTTGAAAACACTCAAATGCCATTCGCATCTTGACGAACAAAACATCAACAACGATGCAATACCATTATTGACGATTTTAAAAATGGGGCATAACAACTCTGAAATCAACCCACGGAACACATGGCAATGAGGTGCATACTCAAGAGAGAAGACTGATGGAAATCACAGGATACATCAAAGAATCCACGTCAGTCACCCCAGAACCATTTCGATGACTATAGAAAGTGGAAATAGGATGACTTTTCGTCAGCAGGGCTTTTGCTTGCACAAACGCAAGGACATTGCCCTGAAACTTCAAACGAGAAGCAGCTTCTACTTTGAAAACGCAGAATATCCGCGGAGCACCCTATTCCAATGGTTCAAGAAGCTCAATGGAATTGATTCGCAGCGTGGAAAGCGCATATTGAAAAACTGTAACGAAAATGGTCATGAAAATATCAAGCGAACATCTATCAAAGAGAGACTTACACTGCATTCTCCGGTATTTTTTCCGCTTGATCATAAAAAACCAGAGGTAGCGGTGAGTCGTGGTTCGCTCTACAAGGGTAGCTTCGATCTTCACCGTCTCTTTTGGTAAGATAGGTCTTCCAATACAGGTAAAATCACGTCCTCCTACTAGCAGAACCTGTGCAGAAAATTAATCAGGCAAGATCAATGTCATATGAACTTATAAAGTACAAGTAAAGATATACAATACAACTTTTGCTCTGCCTTCAACTCGTAATATCGAGCCAAGTCAGGGTTAGAACTCAGTCATGAGGGATTCACAATAATGCAAATATCATAACGGTAATGCTGAGAAGATTGAACGGACGCTGAGTCGTTCCCTGAAACGTCAGGACATTCTTTCCTAGTACAGGAGAATTTGCATCAAATTTCTCAATTAAAGTACCAAGATTAAAAAAAAAAGAAAATAGCTGCAAAATTTCAGAAGCATATTACCGTAGTTTGCTAATGGGTCTACTTAGCTTGTCTTACAAATGTATTCAGTGATCTCAGCAGAAATAAATGGTTAAAAATGCCCGATCAATACTTATCGGATCAGCCATACATCTTGAATCTCGGGACACAGAAAGTTCGGTTCAGAGAGGAACCCTGGCACAGTTAGAACTTCGCTTGTCGCAGTTCAAAATTGAAATGCAATTCATGACCGGCTGGGACATCCACTCAAGACAATTTTTCAATACGTCATGTACATCATACTGCACCGCAATTTCTTTAGTTCATACTACGTTTATCAGACACAAAAAAAACCAACACATGATTACTGAGAGAGTGAATCGATCTTTGAACATACCTTGTCAAGGATAATTCGAGTTCCGATTTCTGCAGGGAAATCACAGCGAACTGATATAAGATCCTCATTGGTAATCTTGTACTGATGTCCATACAAATGAACGACTGCAAAAAGTCTGCCGTGAGTCTTACTCTCGATCTGATCATTCACTGCCGCCAGGACATCTGAAAATTTTGAATGAAACTCAGTTCAGCTTTCGTAAGCCATAGTCAAAGAAGGCAAACCTTTCGTGATTCGTCGATTGCTCTCAGCACGATCTTGTTGATATTCGACTTGACCTCTAACGCTTCCCGCGGACGTACGCAGACTTCGAAGATTAACACTTTGAATTTGAGGCTTACCACACGCATGAGAAATCCCCACTAAATTTCTCAAGATCCTAGAAAACATTCTTCAAAATTCAGATAAAGGTTAATCTTGATTCAGAGCAGAACATCTATAACGCATCAATACGAGAGCAAACACATATTTTGCCACATTTATCCAGGCCACAAAACATTCTGAAAAACTGAGCACTCGGAATCACCCACACTTTAAGATACGAAAAAAAAAAACCGTCAGACTGACACCTTTAAAGCTGATGGGATCAGCATCAATGGACCAAGGGTGACAAACTTTAATTTGCAAAACTTAACCCGACACTTTCCGATTTTCCTCCGCGCGACGACGACATCAAGGTAACAAAAATCATACAGAATGCGAAGAACTGCAATTATAAGTCCTTGAGCATTCGAGGGCGATAATGAAGAGTCATGGGGCTGTCATGGTGCCTCCAACGAGTCATTTGAACGAATTTGAGGGTATGGTCCTTACCCAACAATTCTTGGTTACACAGAATGTCCACTTCAATGTAATGATTTATCGACGGAAGCAATTTCAAAGCGACAAACTTCTTCAGATGCGTAATTGTCGCGAGAGCGGATATTCGTATAAATCTGCGCTGTAGCTCTTTGAAGGATCCAATGCTTTCTAGGCATATGTTGACCTGTCGTAAAGAAGTCAGTCACATAAATGAAACGAACTATTGATGAGGTACAAACCATGCAGTGAGGTACAAACCATTTCATCAAACCGATGATAATCCCGGTCTTGTTCTACTTCTTTTTCAAACTTGATATCAGATTTCATGGCAAGAGCGGCGATGCCAGGGTCACCGTCGGGAGGAAATTTCATTCCTCTACTTTCGTAGAAGGCTTTTTGACGACGAAGTTCGTCGGTAGCTAGGTCTGGAATAAGTTTGGATACGATGTCCTGCATAGTACGGTCGAAGCTGATGTACTGCAACGGATGAGACTGATGGATAACATTTTCGCACTCGGGACAATTATTATTGTCTTCAAGATGTTTGACAATGCACGACTTGCAAAATGTATGCAAACATTCTGTTACAGTAGTCGCATCGACCAGATACCCTCGACACAGGCGACAAGTAATGTGTGGGTTTATGAGTCGCAGTGGAATTTTCCGATCATTGTCACAACCGATCGGGAACATAGCTTCAAGCCTGCTGAAGAAGAACAATCACTAGATGATCTCGCGTCTATTCGCAGAATAAACTTACAGAAGACGGGCAATAAACCAATGACACGCCTTGTCGCTCACCGCTCATCCACAAGAAATGCCTGCAAGAAAATTCGTAAACGAAATTTATGGACCGAGTGGCTTCAGTACGGAACTGCTACCGTGACGGAAATCTACCGATCATTCAAAGCACTGATGGTTGCCACTCAATGACGACGCTCAGTGTCTTGAATTGATTTGCTCAAATATTTTTCTTATCGGCAAAATTCCGCACAATGTCAAACGCTAACCACGATAAAGTCAAATCGATTCACTAGCACACTACCCGCAGGACCGAAAGATAAAATGCAGAAGAGTGTTCCAAGCAGACACCAAAGACACAAGGCCGCAGATTGCAGACTACAGTTTTTGGAAATTCTCCCAATTATCAAATTGGGAGAATTAGCTCACGGTACCAAGTAGCTCACGCCGATTTTCCTTAACGAGTATCATGCCACGTTCATTCAATGACAAAATAGCCCATGAGTACCAAGACAAGCATTCCAGACAAGTGCTGTACGAGTACCGCGAATACCGCAGAGAGAAACTTCCTGCAGGCATTGCTGGGCATGCCTAAACCGAATTTGTTTCTGTGAAATGATAGTCAAAGAAACGAGGGGTAACTGTCATGGTGGTTCTCAGCAAATTCGAGCAGCAGTACCTTTCCCCCTTTCGCGTACTCTATTTCGGTATTCCATTATGTGGATCGAGTTCGAAGCGTGTGGCAAAATACCGGAGTTAAAGGCTTAACTTACGCTCTAATGTACGGTGCTTCTAATCTCTTAGTCTAATTTACCTTGCTTGTTTCTGTCATGTTGCCTGTGATGTAATCGGCGACCGTGCTTTTTGTTTAACGGCGAAGTGAAAATTTGTTATTCGGCCCTTGCCAGGCCTGTGATTGCTGTTGTCAGGATGTCGACGTCAGCAATTTATTTTCTCGATGTGAAGGGAAAGGTTAGTTCTTTAATGCGAATATTATACCTGTATTGAAAATTTTAACAATGTACTGGGTTTGTTTCGCAGGTGCTGCTTTCACGGAACTACCGCGGAGATGTTGACATGAACCTCATCGACAAATTCATGCCACTAGTCATGGAGCGTGAAGAAGACGGCAATCTAAATCCCGTTATTCAAACAAATGATTGCACTTTCGCTTTCATCAAGCATAATAATCTCTACGGTAACTTTTATTGAATTGTTGTACAGTATGATAACGATCAGTGCCAGATTGTTCGTGATTTTCAGTTGTCTCGACATCAAGAAAAAATGCAAATGTGGCCATGGTCTTCGTTTTCCTTCACCGAGTTGTTCAAGTGCTCACCGAGTACTTCAAAGAGCTTGAAGAAGAAAGTATTCGGGACAATTTTGTTATCCTATACGAGCTTCTGGACGAGTTATGCGATTTCGGTTATCCACAAACTACGGAATCGAAAATTTTGCAAGAGTGAGTTATTCAAATCTGATTTCACTTGCGGCGCTTATCAATCTTTGTGAACCGCCTAGTCGGAACGTGCGTGGGTATGATCTTACACACTGGTATGATCTTAGTATTCCTACCTGATTCTCATGTTTGTTCTCAAGATATTGACTAGTTTTGAGACCTCAACGCTGAACTCTTGTTAGCCTTGTACGATCCTGATTGAAGTATGAGTTTTCTAAGGCTACTTGGCATACGTGGGAACTACATTTTAATGCTTGTTGAATTTATGGACCCAGAGTGGCGCCGAATTTTAAACTATCGTGCGGATTTCGGGAACAAGCCTCACCAACTTCAGGATGTTAAACTTCAAATTCACGCTTGATGAATTTTAATCATTTGATACTCTTCGGCGAAGCCAGTTTTCATTTGTATTCAATTCAAATTATGTGGTTATTGTCCTACCCCCTTAACCGTGGCCTACCAACACGCTTCAGTTAAACAGGGTGAACTACGGTTTGAAATGCGGACATGTATTTCAAATTTTATTGGCTAACATTTTTTTTTAAATTCCGTATGCGAACAGATGGGAAGAACCATTTTCTCTTTTATCTTTCTTAGATCTAAATTAATGATGTAAACTACTTCACTACGGTAATTGATTACGAAAGATCCAAAGGAAGATGAATAAAAACCTTTATACAGTATATTTCATTAATTCTCCAACCACTGTGATAGAACCACCACAACTGAAGTGTTTTGGTCATTGATGTTGAATTGATGGTCTTCGATGTTCCTCATTGATGTTGAACTGATATACTGTATCTTTAACTCGAGTTAAGTTTTTGTCAGTAAATGCAACTTGAGTCCTGAACGCAGGGAATGCCTTTCACAGGTGCACACCCGGGACATATGTGCCACACATGGAATTACCGAACTACAGTACTGTTATTATTTTCCTCGAAAATTATATGTATTTATGCTACTGGTGTGATTTATTTGTGAACTCGATAGCTTTCTTGAAGTGACCGACACATTACAACCAAGGGGAGGGGTTAACGCAGCAAAAATTCAAAATAAAATTCATTCGCGTTTCTGAGCGGAGCGGTCATAACTAGCATGAATGGTATGGTATCAGAGCGACTTCAGGGAAAAGCATCCCTGATAAATTCTTTATTCGTCCTCTTGTTTTTCAGAAAGGAGTAGGGTTCGTAGTTTTGTGCATCAAGTATTAGATTTCTTTTACGGATTTTAATCTCGGGGTTTTCAATTCCAAGCCGGTTCGATGGGTGATGATTCTGAAGGTAACTGTGTGTGAGGGTCGGAGGTACATAAGTGAGTGCAATGCGAGGCTTTCCAACCAAGTGCATGCTGGGGGTATGCATCATCCGTTCAAGGGGTACACAGAATCATTTTTTTACGAAATTAGGTTGTTGAATCAGAAATTCCTCAGTTCATAAACTTATGTTGAGATCAAGTGAGAAGCGATTCGGTGATCGATGTTTCGAAGAAATACGAAAGTTTTAGTTTTCCTCATTGATGTTGAACTGATATACTGTGTCTTTAACTCGAGTTAAGTTTTTGTCAGTAAATGAAACTCGAGTCCTGAACGCAGGGAATGCCTTTCACAGGTGCACACCCAGGATAGGACGAACATAAAATACTAAGGAATATGTATGTATACAGGTGGACTGTATACATACATTGAATTTCGTTCTCTACAACGAAATTCAAGGGACTAGAAAAAATTGTTTTAGAGGGAATCACGTAGTGAAGAGCTCCATAAGCTAATTGAGAATCCCTTTAAAATGTGTGCTATCTACACTCAAGGTTGAAAAACCTTGTAACAGAAGCTTATTTTTTACGGAAATTGTGTGATGAAATCGTTGAACATCCGACAAGGATGAAGCTTCTTCTATCCCCGTAGGACCGTTTTGGAAAGCAATCCCACTTAGAACAGAGAATTTCAATTGCGATCTTCATTTCCAAAGGTAATGATATAATATTTATGATTTAATTGCTCAGCACATCAGCTTCAATATATTCATCAATTTACTTGTTTTTCATAAATTTTTACTTGGTATAAAGTATAATTTGCTGACGTTGCGCTCTGATCACCTTCTTCATGTTTCAACAATGGAAAGAAAATTTTGATGAGAGTTGAAGTGAGAATACGATTGAAAGAAAATAATGGTGAGAGTAACTGAAGGCATCTTATTCATACAAATCTGAGCTGTTTACATTTTGATGCGTAACAAGAATTACCTTGTGGCAATCGAATGCTGTTGACAGACGATTTCCTTAAATCCCGTACCCAACCAAAAGCCCCTCCCCCTTTTTAAAAACCTGGATGAGAGTTTAATAGCCCCCATTTTTACAAAATATGCATGAGAGTTTCATACATGTAATCCGTGAGCTTTTGACCAAGAGGGGCTTCTGGATAACAACCCTTGAATCCACCACTTTTATTACTGTGTTTTTTGTTCCAGAATTTTTTTTTTTCATTTTTTCCTGAGAAGATCGGTTTTAAAAGGTCGATTATATTTTTTGAAAAAACGTCGTCATGAAAGCAATTTTTTAGTATACACCTAATTTACTTCTACTTCTCTGTAGAGAAATTAAAAATCAAGTTCACCGCTGAACCTCCAAGTTACCTTCGCTTATTTTTTTATGGTTACGTCATGCGTCACGCATTCTGTAATGCATGACGTATTTTTATTGTCATTTTAAATAGTTCGCGCATATGTATATTATTTTCAGATTATTACTGATTATCTCGTCAGTAATATTTTCACTATTTCGTGCCCAAACATTTCATCTTAATTTCAAGCCCTCTTATCTTCACCCTCATTAATTCCGTCTGTCTGATACAATTATTCATCTCATTTTCCGGCAGTATAGGGTAGGAGTATCATCGGTAATGTAGGAATGTTCTTTTTTAAAACTTAATTTCAGTTCTACCACTCCCATATTTTTTTCTGCCACATTTTTCTTCATCAGTAAATGACGTCATGACTGTCATGACGAATCTTACTTTTGAGAATGGTGAAGTTTACCTTTCGCACTCAGAAGGCCAGAACTGGGGCAAAATTTGTATTCGGTGAAGATGGGCGAACGTTACGCCACGTACCTTTCTTGGAGAATCCTATTACTGTAGTGGAATTTCCTTTTCCTTGAAATCTGTCAATATTTTTAATCCCTTTTGTTAATCTGCTCTTATTTTTCGTCAAGGTCGAACTCCTTACTCCAGCAGGAATCATCTTCGTTTTGACAATCCCCCTTGAAGAATATAGACCCTCCCAGTTGTAGTGCACGGATGTTGAGGCATGATATGACTGGGCTGCTCAGGTTGCCGAATACTGTGTGTGATTTTTTTCGGCTGTGAAAGGAATTCCCCTTAAACCAGGGACGACATGACATCACTGCCCGTCCTCCAAAAACACCACCCCTCCCCGAGTAACTTAACTTTCTCTTCCTCGCAGGGAGAAGCCCCCATATGTTTACTGGGTCTCACTGTACGCTAGTATACAGTACTGCGTTCATTCTCATGTTTCAGCTAGTCCCCGGAATTTTCGTATTTCGACACGGCGTAAATTTAGGATCGATATTTTCTGTGTTGGTGTAATTCAAGTCTTTCGAACTTTGTTTACGTGATACAGAACCATTGCATCATGACAGTTAATGTCTATGTTCTGGTGTCAAGTTTCTGTTTTGTCTGTAGTAAACTTTTCATTGGATCGTTTTCGAAGGATTCTCAGTTCCGATTCCATTAGGAGAGGGTGTCTTAAGCCCTCTCCCGTATTCATGTGTGATGACAGTTTAGGCGGTCGGAATATTTGAAGATCACCGCATTCCTGGTCACACAATTCTATTGTAGTGCTGAACTTTTGTCTTCCGTAATTGAAAGCTGTGAGAGATTCCGTTTTTAGATAAAACCGATTGGTCGTTTATAAAATGATGTGGGGTGAGAGTGCTGAAATAACCGCAGAGCTGTTGTTGCGACAGTTCAGTGTTCCGGGACCATTGTTTCTGGATCCTCGTTATTCGCGTTTGCTGCATCGAAGAACGTCCAGCGTGAGCGAACCACTTACCGAAGAAAAATATGATGAAGATGATCAAGCGTGGCAGGTCATATCCGATCGTGAAGAAAACCGGTCAGCGACTTCTAACGTCTTTCTGATGTTCACCCGCAATGCAAGAATTCGTCGATTTTTTAAGCCGTTACTGTTCGAAAATGTTTGGTTTTTTAGATGGGATATATAACTGGCTTGGGTTATTTGAGGTCTCACACCGAAATGAGAGGATTGGTTTCAAGAGCAGAATTATTGCAATATGTCCTGTACTAGCTGAAGTTTAATGCTTAAATTATTTTCTCCGTGATGAATGTCGCGTTACCATTTTACAGTACAGTATCACTCACCCTACCGTTTATTTTGTCCTGCATTTTATTAGGTTTATTACGCAAGAAGGACACAAACTCGAGGTGCAACCCAGGCCCCCAATGGCGGTAACGAACGCAGTATCATGGCGCTCTGAAGGAATTAGATACCGGAAAAATGAGGTCTTCTTGGACGTTATCGAATCAGTTAATCTGATGGCAAATGCGAATGGGAATGTTTTGCGCTCGGAAATCGTTGGTTGCATAAAGATGCGTGTGTACCTCACCGGAATGCCTGAACTTCGTCTTGGACTGAATGACAAAGTTTTGTTCGAAAGTACTGGTCGTGGGAAAAGTAAGAGTGTGGAGCTGGAAGACGTGAAATTTCATCAATGCGTCCGACTTTCGCGGTGAGTGTTTACATCAGTGGGCTATCTAGCGTAGAAGGGCCTGTGTTTTCGAGGATATTCGTGCAGTATTCGAACAGTTCGCGATCCATCGACCATTGCGTCAAATGTTCGAAATCTGCTGAGTTAGTTGGAAAACATCCGCGAGGCGTTGTTTTTAATCGGTCACAGATAAATTCTATCATGGATCAGCTGAGAATAATTTAATCAAGCTTGATTAACTCAATTGGGAGCTTTTCAGTGACGGAAAGTCATTCGAGTGCTAAAGGAATGTAAAATCGAAAGCTCCGAGGGGAATATTGTTTTCTGTCTACACCGTTGTCTCGCTTCTAAATGCATGAGTAGAATCTCGTTATAACGAATAATCGCTCACAATGGAGTAATTTTCTTTAAAACTAGGCTATTTTACTGACATCGATGGCTTCATTGTAACTAGAATTCACTGTCTGGCGTTAGAAAACACTTCGTAGTTCAAGGACTGTTCCTAAGTGTCATTTATTTTCAGATTTGAAAATGATCGGACGATTTCATTCATCCCACCTGACGGCGAATTCGAATTGATGTCTTACAGATTGAACACCCACGTAAGTGTCTCTCATTCTTGAAGCTATTTGTTCTGAATCAATGCTCAAAAAGCTTATTTTATATCTTCTCGTTTTGTCTGCGATATTTGGAGAATTTTCCACATCTTCGCGTGAAACGGGAGTGCTTTGAACGGACGTAGATACTGTAATGCTTTTGTTCAACGTTTTCCATGTTCTGTTGAAGCATTTATAGTTTGAATATTGAATTTTGTTATTTACTTAGGTGAAACCCTTGATTTGGATCGAGTCAGTGATCGAACGCCATGCTCATTCAAGAGTGGAATACATGATCAAGGCCAAATCACAATTTAAGCGCCGCTCTACGGCGAACAACGTTGAAATTGACATCCCCGTACCAGCTGACGCTGATTCACCAAAATTCAAGACCAGCATTGGGACAGTCAAATACGTTCCGGAGAAGAGCTGCGTTGTGTGGACCATTAAGTCATTCCCGGCAAGTTATTTTAATTCCTTGACTTTCGTTGAATAATCGTAGCTTTTTGTTCTACGTTACGAGAATTTTGGGAATTCGAAGTGTTGTAGTGAATAACTTGTCAGGAGAAATCACGAAAGCGTCGTGAAATTTATTGTGGTGAAGTTTCGTGGGAAGGTGCATTTTTCCCGTTCTGAGAACATCGAATTGGTCGAGGTGTATAAGGGGTAACGTGAATCTTTTTCACTGCTGTCGATTCTAGCTCCAATTTTATTTTTCAGCCCAACTGGGTGGAAGATTGAAGACATTTTTTGAAATGATAAAATTCGGTTTTAAAAAATAAGTGCAATAGAGATAACGCCTGTGTGATTTTGTTTTCAGTTAAAATTTCAGCCCTCTTTCTTATTTAGAGATTTTTAACATTCGACCTCTTTTTAGTATATAAATGATGAAGATAAATATATCCCAATCCAGGGTGGAAAGGAGTACCTGATGAGGGCTCATTTTGGTCTTCCGAGCGTGGAGTCGGAGGAACAAGAAGGTAGACCGCCAATAGCAGTCAAGTTTGAAATTCCATATTTTACTACGTCTGGAATCCAGGTAAGATTTCCGTTAATGCGTTTCAGGGCTTTCAATACTTTTTTGCCAATGCTCCATTCGTAGGTACGCTATTTGAAAATTATTGAGAAGAGTGGATACCAGGCATTGCCCTGGGTGAGATACATCACTCAAAATGGAGATTACCAGCTGAGGACCAATTGATGCGGCAGCTGCCTGAACGTTTTTCTAGCCTAGGTTCAAGCTTGATGGGGAAGGGATTATCGTTGTGTTGAAGTTCTTATGATTCTGGTCCCCGAGTTCCCCGTAAGAGTATTTATTTTTTTCGTTTGTACCAAATTTTTGGTGAACTACAGGTTGTGTCAATTTACTTGATCCAGGTCATTTGCTTAACCGGCGTCTTATTTCCTGACATTCCCGTCTATATAAAGTATCTTGGTTCATGCTTCCTCGATGCACACTTCCTGGAGTAAGTTTTATTGACACTCGGCCTTGAATAACGTGGTATTTGCGTCGGTCCTGAGAGTGATGAGATGATATTAAATTGTTCGGAATAGCGTAAATCGGTTGGTGTGTGCTTGTCGGAAGATGACTGAAAAAATTGTTATTGGCGGATAAACATGATTTTCTCCTTTACCGAGTTGTATTTATTGAAATTATCACGGACGCGTATGGAATTTTAATGCTTTATTTCATTGATGACACCTGATTGAACTTCTGCTTTATGAATTGATTCTTTTTGTAACATTGCTTTGAGCTCAATTGGTTTCTTATCTGTTGTAAGATGTCGGAATTTACTTGCTTTTAAGCTCCGATTTTGTCATTTAATTACTCCTGGAAGTTTGAGGATGAGTAATTGCTGCTGTTGGTACAGTTGAACCCCGTTAAACTGCCCCCTGATTAACCGCCACCCTTGCTTCCCGCCACTTTTTTGTGGTGAACAAATCTTCCCAAACTTGAAGGGATGGGATAACCCCGTTTAACCGCCAACCGCCAATGTTTTCTGCCGACCAAAAAGGATTTTTGCACTGTTTTTTACCCCCATAAACCGCCAATTTTTTTCATCCTCTCTTCAAGGCTTTATTTTTCTGGGTAATATTTCTCAAGATTCCATTTCCTATTAAGTCCTTTTATTAATGTCTCTTACACTTATTTGTCCAGACTTTACAAAATTATCCACCTGGTATCCCCACACATTCTCCAGGTCCCAAATTTCTTCATTCTGTGCTTCTTGGGGGACATCCACCTCCCAAGCAATATTTCTTAAACTGCCATAAAATTTTTTTGAATTGTTTCAGGATGATGAATAGCTCTTCAAAGTTGGTTATTTCAGGGTGGGTTAATTTAGGTCATTTTAGGGTAATTTAGAATGGATTCAATAAATGTGTGCTTCTTTTTTAAATTTCTTTTGACTGAAACCTCAACATGAGTCTTTCCTGAAATTTGTTTAGATGACCTCAAGAAACCAAGCATACAAAAATAACCAAATGAAGAGGAGGCTTGTAGAAAAAAGCAAACCACAAGACATTCAGGAATAGAAATTCAAAACAAATTTGAAAATACAGTAATGAAATTATAAATTTTTTAATTCAAGTAAAATTTTGTCTGATATGTTTGTATGTGATGGCTTTATTCTTGTGAATTTTGCTAGTGAGACAAAACAGATTCATGATTGAAACTATTTGTACCATTTAAAGATGCAAAGAATGAGAGATTTATGTTGCCACAAAACAAAGAATGAAGAGTCATCTTCACCAAAAGCAGGATGGGGAGGGATAGAGGTTGAAACGTTTCTTTTATTTTTTAAAAACACTTCCCTCGTTAAACCGCCAAACCCATTAAACCGCCAAAATTCTGCTGCACAAACGTTGGCGGTTTAACGGGGTTTGACTACCATTATCCTGGAAACCGCACTTGGCTCTCTTCTGTAAGTCAAAATTATCAGAAATTGATGAATATGTATTACATACAGTACATTATTTAGAAAAATAGCAAAAATAATCATATACTGTAAATTGCATGATCCGACTCTAAAGGTATTGAAATTTAACCGATTTATTTGTATTGAAGAATGGATAAAAATGGATTCATCATTTTTATTCCAGCGAAAACGGAGTTTGTGCATGGTCAGAAGTGTTTCTCTGCTTGCACGAACTACAGAAGATGCTTTTTCAATAATTTAATAGGATTTTCAAATTCATTGGTATTTTTAAACCACTCGTTCAATACACCGTAGAGTATATACAGTACAGTATACTGATACAGTATATGCGCCCAAGAAGAATCCTTTATAAATATATGCAGTACAGTAATGTAATTTGTTTTATCGAACAGTGAGGGATCACTCAACAGCTTCCGCTTGATCTAACAAATTAACCTAGAGAAAAAGTCGGACAGAACATCCATGCGAGAAGCTTTTGGGGAAAAAATGGGAGGGAACTTTTAGCAATTGGGTTGCTCATTCAATGGGGAATATATTTGTCATTATATTTTCAAAAAATGTTAACAAATGAAAACTGCTGTGCATCGTGTACAGTATGTATTCTATGTGACGCAACAGGCATCCCTCGCTGAAACCTGTGTGTTTTCTTTCGCAGAGTTTCGCGTTGCTTAGAAAGATGGCCACGATCATCCCAAGTGGAAGTCTGCCCCACTTGCCAAGAATCTTAGGAAATTTTCGTAGCCATTCCTGAATTGATCCGTGCATTTAATAATTATATTCAGCGTGCAGGGTTTTGATCCAGTATTCAGCCGTTAAGAGATGTGTTCAAACATTGGTTAATGATTATATCGATGGTGTTCCGAAGTGTTCACTTCACGGGTGAAGTTATTGCAATGTGTGGAATCCCGTGCAGGATTACATGTACAGTACTGTACTGTGACTTCGCGTCATTTTCGTCGGAACTATGAAAAATATGTGCTTCGATTCATCTGAATCATCTTTTTCGCAGACGACGATCTTGGGAGTGGAAGTGTGTGTAATTCAATGGAGGCAAGGTTTTCGTCAGCATCGCCTCTTCTCTTTCTTCACCAGACTAACCAGTAGGGAAGGCCGAACAAAATGTCATCAAAAAATTATTTACTGAAATGGAGAAACCACCCTAGCAGCTTCATGGAGGTTCTTGATCACCTTCATGCCGAGGAACTATTCATTGACGTTACCCTAGCATGTGATGGAGATCGCTTTGGAGCGCACAAAATCGTTCTTTGTGCATGTAGCCCTTATTTCCAGCGTCTGCTGGCGGAAAATCCATGCAAGCATCCAATCATCGTCATGAAAGGAGTGAAAAGAGAAGAGCTGAGGGCATTGGTGGAATTCATGTACAAGGGTGAATTGTGTGTGGGTCAAAGCGACCTTCACTCGTTGCTGAAAACGGCGGAAAGTTTGCAGATCAGAGGACTGAGTGAATATTCTTTTTCCGGTGAAGATCCTCCAGAGACCGAAATGAATATGGAAGATGTTGCGAAAGAAGGAAGTGTTCTGGACACAATTCGGCAAGTACCTCTTCGAAGAACTTTGAAGAAACCTCATAAAGAAGGGTATTCCTCATTACCGGGGCAACCTCATGCAAAAAGACGTAACTCTGCATCATCATCTTCGTCGTCACCGGTCAATCAATCGTCAACAGCATCAAGTTTGAGCAACGGAGACCCTGTTGATCCTGGGGCGGCGAGTGACATCAAATTGAATGTTTCATCCTCGACAGCTGTTGAAGTATCGGGTGGTAATGGTGGTGCTGTTTCACCTACTGCACATTCGACCGACTCAGGCGACAACACTTTACCGGATTCTATATCAAGCGCTGTAAAAGCAGAACGTACAACTTACGCCCAAGACTCTCCGCAAAATCTTACGATTGAGAAAGATCGACAGCAAGAGCCCGGTAGTCCTTGTTCTCCGATGACGGAAACCTCTCCAGTTTTTCCTCAGTCTGTCACTGATGGGCCTAGTACGCAGGTTAGTCAACGATTTTGGATTATTCCATTCTGCTTAGAAAGTTCCCGGGTGCGTGAGGACGTAATTGAATTACCGTCTGAATGTTCTGATCGTTTTCTCGGCGTGTGTAGTATTTTACTAGGAAACCCAATCATGATCATTCATTTGTGACAAACTCGGAAGAGTTTCCTTCACGTATTAATGTCTAATCGCATTTCAACAGTTGAACGGTCCTGTAGGCGTTCCGTCAACGTCATCTCCACCGTTCATGTTGCCGCAAGATGCAGTTTGGCCGCCTCCGGAAGGCGTTTGTGGACCACCTCACACGTTATTTTCGCCGACGAATAGACTTTATGCTGATCAGTTGAGGCAACAATTCACGCAGAATGTTAGCGTGAGTTACCAAATTGATCGTCCGAAGAGCGATTTTCTTTCCCTTCGTTGATTTATTCCCCTGTCCATATTATTTCTTCGTAAAATTCTAATTTTTCAATGACTCAGGCGTATGCGAGGGTAGACTTTTAACGGGATTCAACCTAGATGAGGCAAAGTTACATCATGCCAGGTCGGTAGTGATGGTTAGACGATGAAATGTGCCCCTTTTTTTTCATACATGACTCTTTTCGTATTGATATTTTATATTGACATTCACCCTAGATTTGCTTCACTTCTTTTATTTGTTTAGTTTAGTGAGGAAGGATTGCCTTCGGTATCGCTGTTTGCAAAACCTTGCCTCATAATTTTTTCTATGCACCTTTGCTCTCCGTATTGAATTCCTTCTGGCGATTTTTAAGGAAAATCCTGACTACATACTTCCCTGACTGTGTGAATGTACCACTTGCTTCACAAAATTCGCGCTAAATAAGTTTTAATTTTTGAACAAATGCGAAAGCAGCTCCCCTTCATTTATAGTTTTTCAGGCATAGCAGTTCGAGTGACATTTTCATGTGGCAACTTTTTCTGCTGGATTTTTTACTGACCATACTGTATTAGCCATGGTACGTGTATATACTGTATATTGATAAATATACAGTATCGTTCGAGAGCAAGTTGATTTAAATTTAATTTCAATCCAATTATAATTTTAATCTTATCTTTTGCGTTCTCTAAGTTTTTCGGAAATTGGTCCTAATCTTCGTGAGCTACCACGTTGATATGGTCAGTTTTCAGGTTAGGTTAGATCTGGCTTAAAATCGAAGCGACACCTGTTGGATGTTCAAAATATAGAGTGTGTACAAGAGCTATTGAATGAGATTTTCGCAAGAGAAGCCAACATTTCAATAATTTATATTTATTTCATGTTTTCATGTGCTCAAGAAACGTATTTTATTTCTCTATGATTGCAGTTCGACGTGATGTACAGATTTTTGCGCGACCGCAGTAAGGATGGCGAAGGCTACCATCATTGCGTATTTTGTGGAAAGCAGATCAGGGACGCATCCAACTTCAAGAAACACTTGCGAACTCACACGGGCGAAAAGCCTTATCAATGTCGAGTGTGTGGCCGAGCCTTTTCACGATCGGAAAACCTCAAGATGCACTTGCGTAACCGACATCCAAACGCGGTTCTCGGCGTACAGGCATCTACGAGTGCAGCTACGCCTTCATCGCCGCCGTTGCGCGTGACACCACCGTTTCCTGCCAGGTCTCCTTCCAATTTATCACCGCCATCTGCGTGATGTGGGAAGAAGGCTTATGTTTTTTAAACAGTTTTTTCATGCTCCGAAGTTCGTATCTCGTGCAATGAAATAATGCGGCGTCCGTTTTTTACGTGCACAACAGTTCTGATTTAACTTGAAATTCTGACAATTGCGGCCACGTTCAAAAGAAAATGTGTAAAGAAATCGATCGATTTAATCGAAGAAGGCTAAATATGAATCTCAATATCCTATTTTCTCGAGAACAAGTCGAGTTGAACGGTTTTCTCAAAATTATGGACGTAACCTTTGCTAAGACTAATATTCAGGAGGTACCCGAAAATCGTCCAAAACTTGTTCTGCATATGACGAACCGATTTTCGGGGAAACTCGTAGATTTTGCTTCAATTTCGAAAGGGCGTCGCCGGTGATGTCCGGATGGGTTTTTCGCATAATAGGTCTTAAACAGCAACAAACGCGTTTTCTCTTCGTACTGCCAATTGAAAAAAAAAAAAATTCTGTTCACAAATTATCTCGATTTTGGGGAGGGTATTGTAATGGGAACGTGTTTGTCGATAAAGAACGGATGCCCATATTATTTTGCCTAGCGGGATCTTGCGCTCACTCTGCCATATCTTCCTGTTTGCGTGCCTTGCATGAATCGCTGCCCGCCTGAAGGGCTCTTTGTTGCAGCTGCCTCTAATTCTCAGGGAGAATTTTTTCTGCTCAACGCTGCTTTGTGTCTTGACGTGTTTTGCGGGTGGCCCGAACGTGGCCAATCGTTGAATTTTGTACCTACCTCTGGACGATTTTAAGAAGGGGAAAACTAGGGTGCCACTGGACAATGGCAGGTGTTTTTTTGTAGCAACTACCTCTAGGCGATCGGTTACAACGGAGTCTGATTTGGCCATGCAGGAGGAAGGAGCTGCACAGGAAAGCCTCAGAACTCCCGGCACCTTGAGTTCCGCGTGTACGTTGAAAATGAATTGAAATCCGGTGTGTTGTGTTTATGTAATTTTAGAAATCCCCTGATTTTTGTTTTGTTTTTGTTCACTTTTTTTTCTGTGTTGAGATGGGATTTGAAAGGTATCGAGCGGCTGATTTGCGTTCTGGGACTTGAAAACGTGATGTTCGGATTGGTTGCCGGTGGTTCTATGGATTAAAAAGGTGTCTGAAGCAGTTCCCCACTGAGGGGAAAAAAGAGACCCGCGGGTATATGTTTCCGACGCGCTACTGTTGGAATAAGGTATATGATCTGTTCACGAAGTTACTCCGAGTCTGTTGTCCTACGTGGTTGTCGCTGAAGATTGATAATTGAGTATGGGTCGTTATGGGTGAGTGACTCGCAGTCCTGAAAGACGGGTGGGAAAAATACGGGTCGTGTTTCAGATATTATTGTTTTGTTGCTGGTTGAGAACTCTGTGACGCATGCTAATGTTATATTCCCGTTTTGTGTTCTCAGTTCCTCAAAAGAAAAATCAAGAAAGCTCGTAATTTTTAGTGACCGGGTCGAGGAATATTTTGGATTGGCATGTTGCTGAAGAAATATCAACAACCTCTCGAACTTATGTACGGGGAGAAAAAAACTTGTGTACGTAGTCGAAGTGTTTCAAAAAATCAAGATATGAGGAGGAATATAATTTAACGGAACTGTGTGCAGAACGCCTGTTGCAATTTGTTTCTTGTTTGTGCGAGCATAGCTGGAAGTGCCGAGGAGACGGCAGGTGATAAATCCGGCTGTGTTTTGCACTGCTAGCAAATTCTTTGTTTCTGTCGGATTTTTTTTTTTCTTTGCTGAGGGAATAATTTAATTGCGCTAAAATATCCAACCGCTTGCATAACGTGTTGAACGCTCTGATTTTAGGGAACTGGGAGATAACTACGTACAGTATGTATAATCATTCCAATACACGTGAAACTCAGGCTTTGGTGTTGTGAAGAAGCATGATTGACAATGAACTTCAGCATGTATAGGCACAGATTTACCCCAACTCTCTCAGGTCAGGTCGAGAAAATCCAGGGTTGTTGTCTCAGGAGAAAAGAAAAAAATCGGAATGCTTGGTTCGGTATATTTTAACTTTTTTTCCTTTTTTCTTCCTGTTGTGAGTGATGGGTTTGATAGGCGAATTTAAAGGCAATTTTGGGAAGAACGCTGTTACGAATAACTGCTACTCTTCGATATTGGCCAGCGTTTCTGTATTGTTCAGGGGGCTTTGAAGAATATACGTGTCCAGTTTCTGTTTTGGTTGAGCAGGGAAGACAAATCTTTTTTAAGCGTGATGGAGTCTGACAGTCAAATGCCTGTGTCAGGATTATGCAGAAATGGAATACGGGTTGTAGGTGGGCAAGATGTGTGTCTGTATTCCTAAGCAAAGCTCCGTGGCAGACTTCCTCGCAGTTGCTTTGGATCTTTATTTTTTGTTTTTTTTTCTGCTTTTGTTTTTGGTGTTGTTCTGGTCATTCGTCACTGCCCTTGTCAATGCTGCCCTTGTTTGCCTGCTGTAGGCCCCTTTTAGAAAGATATTTTTGCGTTCCGGTGATGTTATTGGAAGATCAAAAAAATTTTTAAACTTTTTGTTTGTATGTCGCCTTAAACGTGTTTTTGAGCATCCTGCTTGGCAAAGGATGCGGTTTTCCGAGCCAGAGTGGGGGTTTTTCAAACGTGATTGTACGATTTTCCCAATGTAGTAGACGAAAAAAAGAAAAAGAAGAAATGATGCTGTGCTGCAGCTGTTGAAAAAAAGAGGTGTCATTTCAATTTTCGAGCGCAATTACTGTTTCAAATGCCATTATGGATCCCAAGTATGAAACGTAAACCCGTTGTCAACCAATTCATATTGTGAGTGCTATACGATTATAGAAGCGAGGTAATTTTTCCGGGATTCGCATCTCTTCGTTCTTGAAGGTTGCTGTTAAGAATGTTGCGTTCAAATGATATGATCCAAGTGTCGTGATCTCGTTAGACCGAGTCATATTAAAAAAAAAACTGAATACTGTACAGAAATTTATCTCGAAGGAAATTTGAATTTCTCCTGAAGATACGCATCCGAAATTTCAACAGAATTTTTAGTGCTGAAACTGAGAACGCTGGAAAATCTGTGGATCCTTTAAGGTAAATGATACGTTGGAACATATTTAAACAAAGCCTGCAATTATTTCTGATAAATGACAAAATTAAAATGTTCATACTGTACAATGATACAGTATAGTATTTGCTGGAGTACCACCTGTCCTTGAGTAAGATACCCTCCAGAGTAGACGACTAGGTTAAGTACATTGCCTGGTTTTCTTTTGCTAAAATGTTGATAAAAACCTATCCCTGAGAATGATTTTCATCTTGTTCTAAGTGACTAGAAATGGCAGCTAAGTTTTGAAATCAAAACACATCAGAATCAAAATTTTGAGTTGAATTTGGCCCAAACTAAATTATTTTTCAATTATAAAATGTTTTGTATTTTTAAATGCAACAAGAAAGAAGGCTAACGTTCAACTGAACTTTTAAAATTGTATGCCCAATTATGAAGCATACCAATATACCATCCCTTCACACACAATATTTGTCACAAGTAGTGTATTTCTCCTGGAACCTCAACTTTGATACTTGAAAGACGTCATTACTAAGTATTGTACTGTGTATGAAAAAAGTCGCGGAATAGAAGTTAAGATCATTTCCTACATATTTCCGTTGTATGATTCTGAATCATACTCCAAGCGTTTAATAATCCTCTGCACTTAACATAGTCAAATCTAGAGAAAAACTCGAACTTCTGCAGCTAACGGCAAACTCTGTGATACTTGCAAATTGATCTGTGGTATTCACATGCTAAGCGTGCAAGGCGGTAAGTGACCGAACTATTTGCCGCGTGTTCGTAAACATAAGAAATTGGGATGCATGTCTGTGAAGTGTGAGTGCTGAGTTATTCACTGTGAGATAGAGAGCGGTCTATGAGTAAAGCCTATTACTTAAGAGGACGCTGTGGATTACGGAATTTTTACATGTAGAATGTCTTTCTGTCGAAGGCGTTTCTAGTGCGAAGACGAAGTGCCGTCAACCGATTTCTAGCTTTTTGGAACAAGTTGATGGTAACGATGTCCGCTATTCATCCTCCAGAAGAACAGTTGAGTACACTGAAGAGCCTCGCTGATCTTCTCCAATGTGCTTATTGGTGAGTCCTACACTCTCGTATGAGAAATTCCTGGTGCGATTCCACCGATAGTCAGTTTTGTGTACTTATTTCTCGTATTCTTTCGAAAGCCATAAGCACTTCGGTGAGGTAGTGCCAACCTTAATGGGACGCAACTGTCCGCATGCCATCTGTGCGTCTTGTCGTGAAGGGTTTTTCCCTCATGGGTTTCACTTTTCGCAAATGGGGGAAAAGAAATTGCTGACAACTTGTCCTGTCTGTCACGTTCCTGTTGAGAGAAGTGACCAGGGAGATGACAAATTCCAGGAATTCTTGAAATGCGCTGAAGCGGTGACGGAGAGCTTCCGGGAATTGGTTTTTATGTGCGTTTTCATTCGCATGAAAACTTCCTCCTGTTGAAACTATTTTTACGTTCGCAGGTATGAATCCGAGAAGAAATTGGTGAATAACAGTACTCCGAAAAGTAAACAAGTTCCGTTAGTTGGAACAAGTGAAGCCTTCCCCCTGAAACCAAAGCAAACTAAGAATTTGTCGTCCCGTAAATCTGCGACTCCATGTCGGAATTCGGCGTCTTCAACTCCCCAGAGAGACGTTGAGAAAAGAAATATTAAGGGTGAAACACGATTGCACGTCGCAGTCATAAAGGTAAAATTACGAATCTTCTCGTTTTGAGAACCGTGAAAGGCAAGCATTTAATATTTTTAGGGGGATATTGCAGCTGTCAAAGATTTGTTGGCTTCCGGTGCATCTCCGAATGTTCAAGATAATGCGAATTGGACTCCGTTGGTGAATTTTTCTTTATTTTTTGAAATTTCAAACTGTTGAAAATCTTGCTTTTGTTAATGTCCTAGCATGAAGCCTGCAACCATGGTTTCACAGAAATCACCAAGCTTTTGCTTGAAAATGGCGCGATTGTCATTCCCGGTGGCGACTATAACGAAACCCCCCTGCATGAAGCAGTTATTGGTTGTAGGAAGGACATCATCGAACTTCTGGTTAAGCATGGAGCTGATCCGAATCTGAGAAATAGTTCTGGCATAAGTGCACTGTGAGGTTATTCTATTTATTTAACGTTGGTTTCCGTTGAAGCTTTATTGAGGATTTTTTTTTTCGCAGAGATTTATGCGGGTCTGACGACGCACTCCTCGCCCTCATGCAACTAAGGCATGCATCAAAGGAAGATTTGACAGCTTCTGCTGAAAAGAAAATTTGTGTCTTACCTGAAGATCCAGTCATTGCATACGAGCTAGATGGCTGTCATTCGAAAATACTTTTGAAAGTTGTTCGTGACTATCGATGGAAGAGACCGCAGGCAGATGTTACGTAAGTTTCGCCAATTAAATCTTTTCCTTCGAGTTTAAGTAAAAGCATGTTACATATTTTATTATTCAGAAGATGTTTTTCACGTTTTTTTTTTCATTTTAAATAAACATGTACGCTTGATTAATGTTAAACGATGTCGGTCGTGTCAATAGTATCTTGAATCCGTTTCTGCTGTAAAGTTATTGATCAAGAAAGTGAACGGATCACACTTTTCTAACGTGATGTATACCTGTAAATTACTTGAAAAATCTGACAGCTCACAGCGCGGTAACCACGGCGAAGTTTCTCGAGAGTCCTTCATTATTTTTAAATTCTGTCGGAAAGCCACACTGTAACTTTTGGTTATGATGCATTGCCTTTTTTTACAACACTGAGCGAGTATTCAAGTTCAGTTTTTCCGTCAACAGTCGTGAAACCACCATGTTGATTACACGATGTAGCCAAGCGGATGATCAGCGATCAGTGAAGCCTACCTGCAATGTTATGAAGGCTGTCGTCATAGGTCGACCAATTATCGACATTGGCTGGATCCGAGGCGCATCTTCGGAAGATATTTTGAACCCGGGTCGTATCCAAGCGTTTATGGTCAACGTCGTTGAAGGACTTCCCTCCAACGATGGGATTCGAAAAGCGCAAGAAAACAGTCTGAAAATGCTTCCCCCTTTGTTCGATGGTTTCTGTATTTTCGTTCTGAGCGGGAAGCGGTTCGAGCCCGACGATTGTTTCGGTTTAACCAAGGATGACCTGACCAAAATATTGACGTGTGGTGGAGCTACAATCTTACACCGCGAGCCGAGTCCCGGAAAATTAACGATGGATTCTAAGCGTCCGTTTCATGCTGCTCGTACTCATCTTGCGAGTACAACTCATCTCATCATATATCCACCAGTAAGTTACTTCGCTTCTTCTTACGAAACGAATAAGAACGGTTGAGGAACTTCCGAAATATTTCGTTGACTTACGTCTACGAGGTATTGCACTTGCTTTTGGAATGTTCCAAGTCCCCCAATCCCATTGCCAAGCTTTCAATTTGAATAGCGCGATTCTTGATTTGCACCCGTGAACTTTCATAAAAGAGGCATTCTGGAAGTATGAGGCATGGTAAGCACATTTCTGTTCAGTAATCTGATATGAAAAATTACCTATAAAATAAAAAAAATGAAATATTAAATTATCGTATTGCGTCTAAATCCGAGACACGAGAAATCCCCGTTTTCCTCCTGGAGTGTTTTTGGTTCACTGGATTTCTTTTTCTGATCGAAATGCATGTGAAAAAATTGCGAATACAATTTTAAATTTTCAGATTGAGAATCATTGAAATTGTATCCCTTATAACAATTGCATTAATTCGCATATTTTCCTTGTAAAACACGCACCGTACTTCAGGTTTAATCAAAATATGAACGTATCTTCCATTTAGAGCAAGTCTCCAAGCATCCACTACAACATGGCCGAATTGAAGGCGTTGCCGGTGTCTTGGCTCATCGCATGTATTGCTGAATTCGCCATATTGGATCCTGCGCCGTATGTGTAGCTGACATTTTACATTGAAACTTTTAATCGTTTTGTAAATTTTTAAGAATAAAGAAATAATTCGCATTTTATTATTATTTTTCATTATTATCGCATTTTTCAAGTTCACGTCATTCTTGCAGAAATGGTGTGAGTAAAAAAGTGAGTGAAGTGAGGAAGCATGCTCCGCGAAACGGGAGGAGCTCCCGACGATGATCCTGTTGTTCTTGACGTGAGATTTGCATAGTTTTTAGCTTGATCGATTTCCGTGTTTGATTCAAGTGTAATGGGAATTGTAAAATTATAATTTTTCCCGATCGTCAGATCCCGTGCTACAGGAGCACCAACATGCTGGGGAATGTGTATGTTTTGCAGTATCCTGTTAAACCAGCTACGGAAAATAGAGATGAAGAGCCAGTTGTCGATGTGAAATACAAACCGAGTCAGCAGAAGCTTGCCTTGAAAGTTGCCTTAGATACAAGGGCAGCAACGTTTGATATTCGTCGTGCCGAGCAGCTTGTGCCTCGAGAAGGAAACCCGGACGAAGAAGAATCTGGGTAAGATAGCATTTATTTTTCACATGAGTAGTTTTTTCTTGAATTGCTTTTTATTAAATCATGTGGTCTCCTTTTTAAATCATAAGTCGCTTCAAACCATTTGATGAAGATCGAAGGGATTCTCTGAGGGGAAGGATCCGTGAATATTCCGATTCTTTGCGCATTCCGCTCATGTATTGCAAATCAAGCGTTTTTCTTGTAAATAAAAAAACGCTTTTGAAATAGCTGCTGTTGAGTTGCTGAAATTTTCCGCTTTTGTAAAACGTTGTTGAGGATGTCTCTTGCTGAAAAATTTTAAAAATGTTTGAGCTTCAGTATTTCGAAGAAATATGTGCATAAGTACCTTAACCAACTTACATGTAATAAAAGGAATAATCGCAGTAGTGTGAAACAGATGTCTTATTTAAGCTGCAGAAGATTTTTATGTAGATAAAATATGTTCATGCTTTCAATGGCTTTCCCTTCCATGGAACTTGAACTCGATGCAACGAGAAGTCGCTTGAAGGGCTATTCGCGCTTCATGCTCTCGTGAGATTTAGTCGTCATTGGTCTCTTAAATTACTTCTCAAGATGTCTGCACAGGATAAATTGCCGGTCATCCGTAACACGGACATGGAAGACCCCATGTTGTATCAGGTTTTGGAGCTAATTAATGAAGGGGTTCAAAAATATCTGCAGGTGATGCGTCGATATTTTTTCAATGTTCATTACTTACATGAAATGTACATTCTTCTTGAAATTGAATAGTATCGACTATTGATGCAGTAATCACATTTGTAATTGATTTGAAATCAGGAAATGGATATTGCTGGATACATTAAGAAGGAGTGTGACAGACTGTTCAAACCAACCTGGCAAGTTTTGGTTGGGAGAAACTACGCATGTTTTGTCACGCATCTGGACCAGAACTTTTTGTACATGCATCAGGGAGATTTATCCTTTCTCATTTTTAGAGCTTGACTTCTTTGTTTTATTCTTTCGTTCAGTTTAATCCAGCGTCTATTTTAAAATTTCGTTCGTGACCTCCTGTGGTGTTGAACAATGCCGGAAAATATTTTTTTGAAAATTGAGCTTTTGTTGTTCATTATTTTATTTTTGTGTGTGAACAACAAAGTAATCCGTGCTTCTTTTATCCGCCGTATTTTACTACAAATATTGCTGAGAGAAAAAGCATATAGGTTGAATTGAAGCGGAATGGTTTATTTTCCTTGTACCCCCTAATGTTCGGAGTTCGTGTTATTACCTCTTTGTAAGTCTGAGTTGCCTGAATGAGTGCATCTTATATTGTATACTTTTAAATATTTCGTTCGGGAAACTGGTTATTCAGGTCTTGAATTCTGAAAAGGTCGAAGTTAAATTCGGTCAGGTTGGTTTGGTTTCTGTATTTTGGCGACAAGTTTAAAAATTTGGACGCAGGTGTAAAACAGAAATTTACTCTTGATTTGTGAATTACCATATACTGTCTGTTTGTTTCACAGAACGATGATGACTGAGTGTTCCGTGGAAGGAACTCTTGGTAGCAAGGATTACAAACGGTATTCTCTGGGAATCTTCAAAGACGGTGCCTTGCATTTCACCCCGATCGACGGCTTCTTTCAAATGCGTCCGTCATTCGCCCACATGAACCTTTCCGAAAAGCTGGACCCTGACTCAGAAGTAGCCGAACCCGAAGGGGAGCTGGTTAGTGTCAAGTTCGCTCGCCATCAAACTGAAAGAGCAAAGAAGGCTGAGGAACGTTCATTCGCTCATCTTCATCGGGTTAGCGAGAACGAGCCTTGGATGCAGCTCGACTACAATGGACGGAAATCGGATGAGGCTAATTCCTTGCGGAGCGGGTTGAGAGCACAATTGTTCGATCCTGTGGAAAACGCGATGGAAGTGGAGGACATAAAGGGAGCCCTGCCACCTGTGATCAATGTGCGAGTGAAGTGTGCGGAAGATGAGTTGCTTGATGGACTCTTTCCGGTTTTGAATGCGGTGAATGTGAAAAGTGAAAAAAGCGGTAAAAGTGGTGTCACTGTGCCTCAGCTCTCGTCACAACAACTCAAGTTGAGGCCGTTGTCCGAGAGGATAGCTGTCGTTGCGTGCCGAGGTGGGTATCCGAAATTTCTTGCTTTTTTTTCGCAGTGTGGATTATTAGAGATTCTTTACCAAAGCTGTGAAACCTGAATTCGAGCGCAAAGACGATTCCCTTGCTACTATACCCACGAAAATTTCAACATTAGAGTGAGATACCGCATGTAAGGGAAATTCTGTTATTTTGTAAAAGTAAAGATGGAAAAATGAAAAAAAAAAGATTTGCGACGGACATCTGCCTTGAACTTTGCTGAAGAATCAACTTCCTTTTCCAGGTTCTAGAGAGTATCTAGACGTTTGCACCGTTATAATGAGAAATTCATGATTTTGTGTTGATTTTTGAACTATATTATTTTAGTTTCTGTTGGTCTCTTGAATTGAAATATAGGCTTATTTAATCATTCCGTCCAGGAATAACGAGAAATCAAGAATTTTTTTACTCGCCAAGGACCAACTTTCTCGATGTCATGATTTTCTTTGCCATTACATGAATGTGACCTGAAATGTATTATTTTTTCGAGTCTGAATAACGATGCATAAGTTTTCTTCACCCTTGGAGATCGAAGTCAGAAATAGCGGTTATACGCTTGCGATCGGGATGTCCGAGTCATGCAGCATTGGTTTATCAATTTTAAATTCTTTGATAGAATTGCGTATTGGAATACGGGTTATATGAATTCTAAGAACAAAAGCCACTTCTACTCTCGTTTTCTTGGTAAAATTCTAATACAAATTCCTCGTTTTTCATTATTTACGCTTGTATAAAAAATAGAGCTGTGTATTAAATAGCCGAATTTAAGTACTGTTTGCTCATACATTGCAGCAAAAATTATTCGGTACTCGGAAGCTTGTGAGCTGATGAAACTGGAGCCGGAAAACGAGATCATGCGCGGGCTGATGGCTTGTTGTTACCTTGTGCAAGGGTGCTGGGTGGTTCGATCGGATCAGTTGTACAAAAATTCCGTGGACGCGAAGCAGCCCGCGGGTGCTGTTCCTGTAGATATTCTTGCCCGTGCCCGCGATTACATTCTGTTCAATTTCCACAAAAATCGTGTTGTGGACAAGGAAAAACTCAAAGCTGTGTTACGACTGCCATTGTCGAACTTGACTGCGCTCTTCAAGGAGGTCTCTAAGCCGGTTGGCGATCGGCCGGGCTCTTATGAATTCGCCTTTCCCACAGACACCGATTTTATTTCCAGGTAAGCGCGATTATTTAAATTTAAAGATGACTTTTTTTTATTTAATTTTTTGAGAATATATTGTAATTCAGAAATTCTGTTTGGGGAGTAGTCATGGAAATCAATTTACAATACTGTTCAATACAGTATTTTGTTCCGTCTTCATGAAATACGGAGTCAAGAATTATTTTTAAATGATGGCAAATATATTTTAATTAAACCTTTTTGAATAAACGGGAAGATGCTCAGTTTCAGTTTTAATTCTAACATGAGGTTACTTTTGAGTGACGTGACGCTTCGAGAATGATTTTATTTTGCTTCGGTAACGATTGAAAAGTGGTCGGTATTAGGAAAGGTATTCAATTGCTCTGTTTTTGAGAACCTATTGTACTGTACTTTTTAATAAACGAGGATTAAGTTCTTTTCACTGTTTTGCTGCGGATCTGTCCCATTGTATTGAACATGACATTAGTGCGTTCTTGTCGACTAAGCTACGAGAATAAGTTGCGTTTAACTTCTTAAAATTTCTTGCGATGAGTAAAATGATTTTATGCTTGATATTCAGGTACGCTGATGTTGCCGAAAGACAGGCATTGTTATGGGATGCCAAGTTTCATCAGCTGATGCGGTTGTTGAAGAGTGACGAAGTAACCCGGAACTCGGAGTCGAGCCCTACGTCGTCGCCTTCGCGGCGTCGGCGACGGCGGACGCGATCTCAGCGTGACTCCGTCGGCAGTGATGTCGAAACTTCGGTGGATACCGTTCGTGGGACAAGTTCCTCCGTTAGATGACGTCGGCGGTGGGCCCATGCGACGCTCATCGCTTGTATTTGTTTGCTCACGATGAATAAATAATGCGTGAAATGGAAGTGTCGTCGTCTGCTTTTTGAATTCATGTTCGACATTCGATAACTTAAAATTAGCCCGATTTTGTTGTACATTAGTTCGTATAATTGCTTGTTCTGTGGTTTAATGAACAATAGCTCCATTTGCTACTATAGTTCAAGGCGTCACGCCGCTTTGTTTCGTTTAGTAAGTATACATTTTATTTCAAGGCATTTTGCTGAGAATAATCGCTACATTATGCTTTTTTTTAAGACTAGTGTGCTTCATTTAATTCTTCTTCAGGAAACCGGCGAGAAATACGATATTTCAAATGTTTAACGGTCTCTACAGTACTGTCTGCTGTATTTTAAAATTTCATTCATTATTTTAATGGTTTTACACTCGTACGTTTGATAAGGTCAAGTGATACCCTTCACGTTGCTGATGCATTTGAAGCATGCGCGCCTTATGCAGTATCCAAATTTATATTTTCTGTAAGAAATTCCGTCGCCGTGCCTTAGTTCATGTTTTTATGACCTGTCTTAATGATGTACGATTTAAATTGTCTTTGCTTGCAAGGGCATAAGTTTCGAACGAAATGGCTTTGCACACGTGCATTTTTCGAAACTCGCTTTTCCGGAAAGGCGCTGTGAAAATCGGTGCGAGGGCAGTGTCTGTGTGCTCTTCTCTTCGTCATCCTGGTCAGCCGGAAGCGAAAGAAGTGGACAAGGAGAAGCCGAAGGCGATGTCGGAAGCTGCACAATTGCCTCTACGGGAGCCTATCGTGAAAAATTTGATGATGGGGCGAATCGATCCGGATTTCCTGGGTTATCCAGAGCTTAGCAAAGCGAAGCTCAAGTTTTTGAATGAAACATTTCTTCCCCCGATACGTGACCTGCTTAGAACTGGTGAGGACCCTTCGCGAATTTCAACAGTGTTGCGTTGAGTTAATGAAAACGAAAGTCTGCTTTTGGTCACGAATTTAAGATTGAGTTCTCCGGATTAACGCTTATGCGTACGAAAAGAAGAGTTTTTTACTAGTTTAATGGTCACTGTACAGTATTTCTGCTAAATTCCAAAATTCAATTGAGAAAGTACTGTTTTCTTGACCGCCTGTCATAAATTATTTCCTACAATGCTAAACGAAGTTCATAGTTTACTTATCCAGTTTGAATGCTTTGTGCAGAAAGTGCGAAAAACCTCGGAAATGGTAACGACTCCGGCGTTATGAATGAATTCAAGCGACTGGGACTCTTTGGTATGACCATACCGAAAGAGTTCGGTGGACTTGAATGTAGTGCTATGGAAGTTTGCCGACTATTGGAGGCTGTCGGCGAACATCCCATTTTGGGTTATAGATTCATCGCGCATTGTGGTTGGGTTGTAAACGTGAGTACCGCAATTTTTCTACAGATTTCTTGTACTGTATCTGTCCGTTTCAATTTTTTGTTGAATTCACGATTCATTCATAGAACTGATGGAATGATTAGAAATTTGATTCAAAGGACTTTTCCTTGCCTTTTATAAGACCATTTTGAAGTTCGGCACTGATGCACAGAAGAGGGAATATCTTCCTGCAATGGCGAAAGGAGAGAAAATTGGGGCTTGGTGTTTCGGAGAACTTTCGAGTGGCTTTGATGCGAGAGTTTTCCAGACGAAAGCCATTCAGAATGATTCAGAGGAAGATTTCATCATCAATGGCGAGAAGCCAATAGTTTTCAATGCTACCGACGCAGACTTTTTCATCGTTTTCGCGAAAACTGAGGTTGGTGTTCAATTATAGCTGGAAAGTACAGTACTGTACTGCATTGTGAAAGATTACTTCACAGGTGCAGTTCTATGAAGTTTTTCGACTTCGCGACCTGAGAGTTGTGTCAATCATTTATGTTGTTCGACGAATTTCGAGCCGTGTAAAATGTCCAAATGTTTTAGTCTGGCTACGATTGCAGTCAATTTTTTGCTATTTTCGTTCCAAAGTCCGTCATTCCAAAATCTATTTCTTTGCTACTTCAAATGTGTTGCCGTAATAGTGTTAAATTTTGTCAACTCTTACTTGGTTAGCGTTGATATTGAAATTACCTTACCAGGTTCGTTGAATGAAAGCTACATTACCCTGTCTAGAATTATTTCGTTGCTTTATGGTTTGGTTCATTATTTGAGGCGACATCTGCAAGGAATATAAAAAAAGGCTTGTTGTTGAGGGATAACTAATATCGACATCCGCTGTTCGGTATACGGAAGTACTGTGTTATACATTTTTATTTCGTCAGGATAATTTTTCTTACCTTTTCTGTTATATTCAGAGTGAAGATCATCTGTACAACAAAATTTGGGAAACCACTGCCTTCTGTGTTCCGAGGAACACGCCCGGGATCACTGTTACTCCGTCGAAAAGTGAAGGACTTTCAGGAGCAGCTGTTGGTTCAGTAACATTTCAGAATGTTAGGGTGTCGTCCGATCAAATTTTGGGAGAGAAAAATCGAGCGTTTGAGCACGCCACTATCTCGCTGGCGGAAACACAGTATTTGATCGCCGCTTTATGCGTTGGTACGCTTTTTTTTTTCTTGTAATACTTGAGGAATCAAATTTTTGTTCTAAACCCTAACGTCGTATTACTCATGAAGTGAGTTTTTTTTTTCTTCAACTTTTTTAGTAAAGAGTTGTGTGAGGTTGAGTCTGGTGAAGTTGATACGTCGAAGGTTGTTCGGAGTTCTCTAGTTTTCAAGTAGGATGAATTGGATGATGATGTTTGTTCCAACAAAAGGTACAAGATTGGATTTTTTATACTTCTGCTGTTATACGTGGAATTCCGGGAGCATTTTAATACCGCAGTACAGTAATAATTTAATTATCTGTAATTCATTTTCGTTGATTTTTCCTAATCTCGTTTTTTCATCGTAAACCAAAAATAAAAAACGCTTCGAGGAGTGTTAAAATGACGGAAGAATGAATCTGAAATTTTGTTTTTGCGTTACAGGTCAGATGAAGAAGATTTTGAAAGACGTTGTAGACCACTGTGTTCCTCGTGTGTCAATGCTTGAGCCATACGTGAAGCACGATTTAGTCCGAGAACGAATAGGAAGGATTTCCATGAAGACATTGTTGAGTGAAAGCATGCTTTATGCCACCAGTGGAATGATAGACTCGGGAGAATACGACGACTTCATGTCGGAATCTGTCGCGACGAAGGTAAGTTAAAAAGTGTTATTTATTGTCGTAAATGTTATGATCAGTGCTCCAATTTTGTAAGTGAGAGCTGAAATATCCGGTTTCATATTAATGTCCTTAAGGCCTTTGAATTATCATCGCTCTAAAAGTTGGTAAGCCTCCTCGCATATTTGCAGATATTTGCGTCCGAAGCTCTATTTGATGTAGCTGTTGAAGCAACGCGGCAGATGGGATCGCGGTGTTTCTTTCAGGAAGAAAGCAGTTATATATCTTCCGCATTTTCCGCATCGGTGGTTGGCACATCGAATGACATTCTGAGAATTTTTTTGGCCCTGAGAAGTGAGTAGTTTTTTGTTGTTGCTATACTATGATCTCAAAGTTACTGTTCCGGAGGACGTGGTCTCCTCGCAAAGATTATTGAAATAATCTCATGATCAGTAGATTTCTCTTGAAACTTAATCTACGGTAGGAATTTTCTGGAAAATTTAATTCAAAAATTTTTTAGGTCTCAAAAATATACTCGGAAAACTGTTCATGTCAGGCATAAAAATATCTTTCGGAAAATTCTAAAAGAATTCCCGCATCACTTCTGGATCATGGTATTCTCAAGGTTTCATAATTTAATTTTCGACTCCTGATTTATATTGCGATTATCCTAGAATACCTTGGATTTCGACGCTTACGTAGATATTTATACATACAGGTATTTTATAAATTCTTTCTTACTGGTAGGCATAGAAAATGCTGCCAAAGAAATGCAGATGATGGTGTCCATCCAGCGCAATCCCTACGACAATCCCCACGTTGTCTTCAAGAAAAGCGCCATTAGATTACTCGACGTGCTGCCCGTAATTGGTAAACGCCGATCTAATCGTCTCAAGTATCACCTACATGGCCATCTTCATCCAGTTTTCACGCCTCACGCGAATAGCTTGGAGCGTCTCATTTTACGATTCCCGATATGCGCAGAAATGGCACTCGTTGACAGTGGGACCTCGATAGGAGCGCGTCAAGTCGTGCTCAAGACTTTCTCTGATATTTCTATCCAGTTGTACGCTGCGACTTGTGGTCTTGCGAGAGCGTCGCGATCTCATTGCATCGGTCTTAAGCAATCAAGTGTTGAAATTGCTATAGCGTGTCGGGCTGCCGAGGAGATTTTTGATGAAGTAGAAGCCATGTTGAAGCCGTTGGAGGACAGTGCCTTGGGCTCGCCGCAGCACAGGGTTTGTGATCTAGGAAAGAAGGTGCTGATGTCGAAGGACTATTTCTTCGAGCACGCCTTGACCCATAATTGGGATTAAACTCATCCGCGAATGTTTTGATTTTGTTCAAGAGTGGCGATAAAAGTCGTGTTAGGCGTTTCTTTGTTCCTCTCGTGCTCGTTCTCTTGTATTCGCAAACTGTATAACCGATAATTCAATATTTCTAATCTTAATTCTAAGCGTTTGCGAAGACGCTATTTTTTTCAGAAGGTATTCTAAAGAAATGTAGTGATCTCGACTTCTCGTGACACTTCGACGATATTTGGCAATCATGTAAGTGAGATTCCTGCTTTACGACATGACATAAGAGGTATATATCATTTTGGAATGATGGATAGATGAAGTTGGTCATAAATTTTATTTCTTTGAAACGAGTGTACAGTACAGTAGTACAGTATTTTTATGACTCCTATGACCCGTTCGGACATATCTGATAGTACGTGAATTCAAAGAATCTTGCAACTAAATTTAATCCTTGTTTAATTGATGGTTTGGCATTGAAACTTCACCGGCTCAATCAATGCCCATGGAAGAGCTGTAAAAATCACACAAACCCGATTGGAATACAAAAATTACGTGTCGACACAACTCACTGCTCTTGAACTTGCCACACTTGGAACTTGCTGCACCCCTTATGACTTGCTGCTGTCATAACTTGCCGCAGAAATAAATTGCCGCTGTCATTTCTTGCCGCACAGGCAACCTGCCGCTGCTACAACTTGCCGGAATAACTGAGGCAAGTAAAGTTGCTGCACATGGCTTGCCGCACACACAACTCACACTGCAATAACTTGCCATGCACACATGAATAATGACCATTTTGCATGATTAAATGTAATATTGTAATGGATTTATTCCTGCTTGCACACAAATGATTTGAAAATTAAATTTGTAGAAAAATTACCAAGAATTTGCAAAGTGTGTCAAGTTCACATAGTTCAAGAACACTCATGGAATATTTGAAGGGTGTTTCCATGAATAGTTAACCTCTCATGTTTTGTGAACTCTCAAATATGCTGCTGCATTAAATTCAATTGCGGCAACTTGTATCAGCGGCAAGTTATTTCTGCAGTGAGTTGGGCTTGCTGCAGGTTGTCACAGCAGCAAGTGATGACAGCGGCAAGTGATAACAGCGGCAACTGTTGGTGCGGCAAGCACAGCTGTGGCAAGTGAAGGTGCGGTGAGTTGTGCCAGAGCCCAAAAATTAATACTGTACTTGCAAAAAAAAAGTGGAAAAATTTGTACTACTTCACTATTTTTTAAATTGTTCAAATCATTCCACGCTAGATCCTCACAAGCAATTTTGCTAATGTTATTTTGTCGGAGGTTTTCGATTTACTGAAACCAATAATTGGGCAGAAGTGAAGCTCTTCGAGAATGTCGGGAAGATTATGATGAAAAGGTTTGTTTGATTTTGACAGGGATTTCAGCGCAAGTCAGTCAATGGAACTGAGCCACTTACGACCAGGCGTTTCATCCTTGCATTTTGAAAGAACCAGACGCTCTTCCATGGAAGTGAGGCATTTTTTCGATCGACCGTCGACCATACTTAGTCAGTCTGGCCATGGGAAATCAGCTCGAGAAGACCTATACTGCAGTCGACTGTTGCTCGAGAAAGACATTTCCGCCACTTTTGATAGCGCCAAAAAACCGAGGGTTGTGCATCACAAGCGGGACAAGGATGTCTTCAAGCTTGAGCAAGGCGTGGAAGACGAAATTGTTCATTCTTTGGAAACGTTTTACGAAGATATTGTGGAAGGCCTTGGCCAGTGCCACAAACGACAGCTAATCAGTAGCATGAAATGGCAAGTGATATCGTTTGCTGTTTGTATCATTAAACAAATCCCTGAAGATGCAAATTCAACGGTTTCAAATGCATATCGAGATCTTCAGATGTTTACTGCAGAGAAGGAAAATAACTGAGAATTTTGAGCTAGTGTTTAAAGTTCCCCAGAATTTGCATTAAGTTTAATTATGGCATGAAACAGGTATGACATTTTATGTTCACAGTTCAGTATTTAATTCAATTTATTTTTTTGAAGGCTTGCGGAATGCGGGCGAACATTTGACGACTCATCTCCATTTTTACACGGGATTCTGCATCCGAAGGTCAGAAAGCCCGCTGTGATCCTCAGGCCGAAAAACCGGGAAACTACGTCCGTGCTGAAAGGAAAATGTTTTCTCGAAACCGGTGAAAATCTTCGTGCTGCTTTTACGACCCGGGAATGTTCGTCACTCGAAGGCGTGTTCCTTCATCACTACTCAAAATACCTCGCCGCTGAAAAAAAGCGGCACGATCATTGTCCTTCAGTGCTGGACACGTGTTCCACCAAAGATCCCCTCGAAGATGTCTTGCAAGAATTTCAAAAGGTCGTTGCGAGTACTCCGGACTTCGACGGATATTTCCCTTACCTGGCTGGGAAAATCAAGAAGCGACTCGGTGATGATGACAATGCTCGATTGGCATTTGCGGAAAGCGTCCGCAGGGCGCCGCTCAATTGGGACGCCTGGGCCGAATTGGCGGAACTGATACCGTCGAAAGATATTCTGGTTCAATTGAAACTCCCGAAGCACTGGATGTATTACTTTTTTGAAGTCCGTTTGCTCAAGCTGCTGGAGAAGAATTTCGAGTGCGTGGCTCTGGGGGAGTGTTTAAGTAAACTGGGGTTTGCGAGGAATCCTTCTCTGATCTGCGATCTGGGAATAGTTTTCCATAATATTTGTGAGGCGGAAAACGCAGTGGAGTTGCTCATGTGGTTGCGAGATGCTGATCCTTACCGAATCGATCACATGGACGTTTTTTCCAATTTGCTCTACGTCCAGGTGAGTCACTTTTTCTTGCGATTTTACTTCCGTGAATTCCCAAATGTAATCTCAATGAGATGAGCTGAAGAATTTTTGAAGCTGAACCGATTTACTCTCTTCGCAGAATTTTCCTAACGTGTTTAGAAATGTTGAAGACGACGTGTATCACAGTTCTCAATATTGTTTTTTGTTCTGGTCTAATCCCTGATTTAGCAAAGGGATGGTTTCTCTTTGCGTGATTGCTTCTAATCTGGAAGTGATTCAAGAATACAGCTTCAAGAATTGTTGGGAGACTTCGAGAAACATGAAAGCATACTGACCGCATGCAATCGATAACTGTTCTGAGGTGTTCCTCCTTTTTTGTTTTTCCCAAAAATTGGATTAATTTTTCTGCGCACTTCATCACACTTGTATTTCTTTAAAGTGAGAGAAATCTCTTGATTCTAATTTTGCTTCAGTTATCAGCTTAATTTTCTTCGAATAATACTCAACGATCTTGCGTTCCTCGAAAGAAAATGGTAATAAGTTAGTGCTCTAAATTGGATTTCAAACCATTTATTTTCGAAACATAGTGTCGGTCAGAAAATAAGTCTTCTCACCTGAAAATTGTATACTGAACGTTACAATTTAAGACGCCAAAGAAAATAAGATACACACTGATTTTTGAGCCACATAATTGCATCTTATATTCGATTGCATTAGGTATCATTTTAAGAACGCCTGCCGGCATCCCGAGTTATTCGAGTCACTTTTTGCAGGAATGTGATGTCCAGTTGTCGTGTTTGGCCCAGACGTTCTCCAAAGTAGCCAAGTTCAAGACTGAGACTCAGTGTGTTCTCGGTAACCTCAACAGCTTGCGTGGGAATCATGAAAAAAGCATCCTTCATTTTCAACGAGTACTGAAGATAAATCCGTCGCATAAGTTTGCTTGGACGTTGTTGGGTCATGAGTTCATTCAACTCACGGAGCCCTTGAAAGCGATTCAGTGTTACCGAAATGCTTTGAGTGAGTGATTTTTATACTTTCGGATGAAGACGCAGTTTCTTTAGCTGGATTAGTTATCAGAATAAGTTACTGCAGTCCATTTGTTTCAACTCGTTGGTGTCATGCTATTTTTAATTTTTTACGTGAATATTTCAGAATTGCTCGTTTGAATTCTCTCAAACTTATTTTTCACAGAAACCCATTCAAGGGATTTCAGGGCGTGGTATGGGCTAGGTCAAGCTTACGAAGTGCTCAAAATGCATTCGTATTCGTTGTACTATTATCAGAATGCACAACTCATCCAACCTTATGATGTACGTATGCACTTGGCTATGGGAATAGCATATGAAGAAATGGGTCGCTGGTCCAATGCACGGTATTGCTATGAGCGTGCGAGCAAGTTGCATGACCCAGAAAACATAGGATTTTTCCGTCTTGCGGAGTGAGTATACAAAATATATTTTACCTTGTACCGTTGAAAAAAGGAATTGAAGTACAATAGTGAAGAAATATACAAAAACAACGCGAGTGGTAACGTGATTCTTGGAAAGAAAAATCACGAGAATTTTTGCGCTGCTATTTTGTTTCGAAAATTAGAAATGATTTGCATCCTTCTCAAATAATCTTGAGTCTGGAGTTTCTAAAAACTTATTGTGCTATGAAAAAGTTACCTATTCGGAGCGATGAAATCCCTTGTCTACTGAGACGTGTCGTTTAGTCAATGAGTGACGATTCCTGCATTTGGTATAGGAGAAATGGTTTTATTGGATCTCAATTTAACCCTTATCTCGCGCTAGTCTTTTGGACTACCTTGGCATGAATCCTGCATATTTTATTACGATGGGATTCGTAACAGCTTTTGAAGGAGTCCTAATTTTTGTCATTGCAAACATTTTCAATTTTTTTCTTCACTCAAAATTCCCAGTATGTACGCGAAGTTGGGATTGGACGAGTTTGCCGCAAAGGCCTTCGTGTCTTTTTTGACGCGCTTCAATGAATCTGGTCGAGGGACAATCGGTATGGTCACAAGAGCACATTTGTTTCTTGCCATTTATTTCATACGGAAAGAGAAATACAAAGCCGCCGAATGGAACGCCTTGTCTCTCTTGGACTATGTTCATGTGAGTTTCTTCAATTTCCATTGTTCAAGTTTACTTGAAAAATTATTCAGATTATTTGAAAAATTATTTTCAGGAGGATTTTTATTGACTGGTACTATGCAATGATGATAGCGTCTAGGTTTCCAAAATATCTCAATAGTAACTGTATTTTGAAATAGAATTTGATAACTTCGTGAGCTATAGTAGCTGCATTTTTTTCTTTTTCATTTCTAGGCAAGAGAAAAAGGAAAGCGTTGCTTGGAACTGATCTCTTTGAAGATGACGGAAAGGAATTGCTTGACTTCAAAGATCGTTCCTGTGTTACCCACTCCTAAAATCTTGGAGGCGGAAGAATTTCAAGATTCGTGAACATGTGCATTATTTTTCGAGCGTGATCTAATTTCTTTTTCACTTTTGAAGCCGAGCTTTTCATTTACTCGAATTCTCCAAGTTTATGATTCTTATTGGATTTGAAGTTTTCATGAAATTTAATTTTTTCTGTCCTTATTTAGAATTTGTTTGAAATGTCTCACGACAGTATAGAAGTTAATTTTGTGACCCATGAGAGCGAGACGAAAAAAATCCCACCGCGAAAACGCGTTTTTGATGCCGATGAAGCGAAGAAGAATCCTTCACGCCTCCCGGATATCAGTGAACCAAAAGCTAAACGATGGAAAGCAGGTTCTTCGGCGGGTGGTTTCGGAGGAAGCGAAAGCCTCATTCGCCACCAAAAATCTTCGCTTTTCGGAAAAAATCCTGAAATCCCGAAATTGAATCACAAGTCTGTCGTACCGGTTTCGGAGAAAGTTTTCTCCACGACAAATTTTTCGGAATCCGGCGTGCATCCGTTTTTGGTACAGAGTTTAAAGGCTCATTACAATATCGAACACATGACGGAAATTCAGTTGAAGGCGATTCCGATTGCCTTGCAAGGCCGAGATATTTTGGTGAAGTCACAAACGGGGTCTGGTAAAACTCTGACTTACGTTACACCGATTCTGACCATGTTGCAAGCTGTGAGACCCAAGATAACCCGTGACCATGGATGTTACGCCTTGGTTGTCGTGCCCACGCGAGAGTTGGCATTGCAGACCTACGAATGGCTCCGAGTTTTGTGTCGGGTAAGTTTTTATTTTATTCATTTTTTGCTTTTTACGATATCGTGTTGCATTTTTAATTGTGAGGGATTCATCTGAAGTCCTGAGAGTCATTTACAAATTGTCATCTTAGACGAATGAAATTCGGTAATCCGTAGAATAAGTTGGATGTAGCCATGAAGGGTTTCCCTTCTTTATTTTCTTTAAATTTTATTTCGAAGATAAGATTGAAACGAATCTAAATCATTTGATTTTTTGCGAAGAGGTGAAATGAATGCGATCAGTATATCTATATACAGATGTACATTATTGAAACCAGTAAGTAAACCTGTCGTGAGCATCTGAAAGTGGGTTTGAAAAATCATCGAACTTGAATTTTATAGTTTCTACGGATCTTCAAATTCGCTTTACATTCTTCCGTAGATTTCGCCAAAACTGTTCTAAAAGTTTTTCGCTATCTTTTCTTTTGTTGGATTCACAGACACCAAGTGTTCATCAATAGTTTTCAGTTTTTTAGACGTTCCTCATTGACACTGCGATTGCCAAGAAATAATTGTGAATTCGCTTAGCAGCTGTTGAGCCATGAACAATTTAATTGAGCGGTTTTTCCGCTTATTGTGACTGAAAAATTACCCAACAATTTATCATCCCACGTATCTTCTCCCAGTTTAACCCTCTTGAAATTCTTTTAATTTTTGTTCGTTCGAATTATCTGGATACAATTTTTTTTTCTAATTGCACGAGTTCTAAAAACCGGGTATAGCCAGGTTTCATCTGCCTCAGACGGAGCTCTGTGGATTTTTTTTTTTTTTTACTTGCGATGAATCCCTCTTGTTCAGTTGACGTGAACATTTTAGGATGATTTCGTAGTAATGCTGTGAAGTGTAAACTGTGTAAAGAATTGGTACATTTTTATGCGTGTTATTTTAGTCGTTTGCGTGGATCGTGCCTGGCGTTTTCACGGGTGGAGAGAAGCGTAAAAGTGAGAAGGCGAGGATACGGAAAGGAATCAATATTTTAGTTTCGACGCCGGGAAGACTTCTGGACCATGTAACAAACACGATGAATGTCACTTTAAATCGGGTTCGTTGGTTGGTTTTGGATGAAGCTGATCGTCTCACCGACATGGGCTATGAGAGGGATATCTCCAAGTAAGTTTATTACCTCTTCGAAGTTGTTTTTTGTCTGTTCTTCTCGAGATAGAGGAAAATTTCTTGTGATGAACAGGTCAACGCTCGAAAATTTTTTCATTGAACGATTGGTGTCTCCATTTTAATTTTATTCACTGTGATATTTTAGCAGTGCCTTTTTCGAGAGTATCTAGTACAGCAAAAGACTCACTCTTCTGTAATCGTATTCCTCCTTTTCATTGTGCCGAATTCCGGACTTTTCCGAAAAGGTGTCCTCTAAAAAATTAGGATTTAAGTCATCCAACACATGTTTTGGAATTTGTTTCTCCTTCCTTCATGTTGATATTAACCCCTACCGAAAAACTCCCAATTAAATCTTCCGAAACGTTTATCGAATGACGTGTATTAAAAAGAATTTTTCTCATTTATCTGTTGTGCATTTTTTTTTAAACGATTTTTCGATTTTCTTGAAAACGGGGTTAATTGAAGTCAAGTACAGTACAGTAATTTTATTTCTGCCATAATATAGAATAAATCAATCGAAATTTCGTACGAATGTATTTCTAGGATTGTGCAAGCTTTAGACGCGCAAAAAGCTGAGGAGCGACAAACAATACTCTTGTCCGCCACTTTGACGCCAGCTGTGGAGCGCTTAGCTGGTTTGGCTATGAAGGACAGAGTTTATGTGGATGTAGCTGATGTATCCGAAGAAAGCCACGGAAAACTCACAGGTTTTGCGCTTCCAGCTCATTTGAAGCATCATTATGTTGTAGTTCCTCCGAAACTAAGGCTGGTTTCACTTCTGACTTTCCTGCTGGACAAAACGTGTAACGGCAGCGAAGGAAAAGTGAGTTTGTAAAGTGAACCGTAAAAAAAAAAAAACAGACGCGCATTTATCACTATTGAGTGGTTTGAAAAAGGTCGGAAACTTGTAAGGAAGAAATTAATTCATCTTTCTATAAGAATTTAAACAGAAAACCATCTTACTGTACAGCTATCACGATTGAGAAATATATACCTTGAATGAATGCCACAAATTATTTTAAATAGGATTGGACGCACTTCTGCGATCACATTTTTTCCGCGTCTGCGATCATGTTCAAGTTGATTTTTGTTTCGTAGTTAATTTTTGTCTGTTCGAAGGTGAAGGGATTCGCATTTTTTCTATTGCCCTCAGTGCTTGAAAAAAAAAAACCTTCGTTTAGCACTTCGGGACTGCCTGAACTTCGTAAAACTCTTCTTATTCAAAATCTGTTGACATCGAAACAATGTGCATAAGGCTTTCCTGACAAGATGATGACGAAATCTAATTTTTCAATAGATCATTGTCTTCATGGGAACGCAAGATATGGTCGACTTCCATGCGGAATTGTTTACGCGAATTTATGCCGGAGCAGACGGGAAGTCAAGTGGAGTGGACGATGAAGATCTTGAGGACGACGAAGGACTATTGGATGCTATAGACAAAGCTAGCAAAAAGCGCAGACCTGTTAAGGCATACATTGCTCGATTACACGGCAAGATGGAACAGAAAGAAAGAACCGCCATTTTTTCCAAGTTCAGGGACACTAAGGCAGGGATACTTTTGTGCACGGTGAGATTTACAGTATATTTTATACAAGAATTCCTGCGTTGTGATTAGAGTACAATTAATGGCATGAGATAATCAAGCTGATGAGATGTTCTATAATCGAGTGTGGGAACTGCTTCAACCCATTTTATTCATGTGAAAATTTTCGTCTCTTGCTTTGCTTCCCTTACAGATTACTTATTTTCTTAATCTGTATGACTTAGCTTGAAAAATAGTTTAATATTTCGTTCGAAACTCAGTGTATTAGTTGCCATTGTTGTTCGATCAGACGCGATAGTCGTTCGCTTTTGTTTTGCAGGACGTTGCATCACGAGGATTGGATTTACCCAAAGTTCATTGGATTGTTCAATACAATGCTCCCACTGCCATTGAAGATTATATTCATCGGGTTGGACGAACAGCGAGGGTCGGGAATCACGGGAATGCCTTGCTTTTTCTCGCTCCATCGGAATGTTCCTTCCTGGAGCATTTGGAAGATTTTCAAATCAAGTAAGGGTTGCTCAATGTTCCTTGGGAGATCACCGTCGTCGTCTCCATGTGTCGACAAAATAATCATTTTATTGAAAGAACCAAGAATACTTCCTCGGGTTCGCACTCGGAAGTGATCTTTTTCGCGTCCGATCGTGCGTCAAAGTTATCCGCAAAATTGGATCACGGATTTCATGATGTTTCCGTAATTTTAAAGAGGGGACATTTTTAGATCGCTTCGCTAGCTAGCTTGTTGATTGCTAATGTGAGATTCCCAATAATTCTTCGTTAGTTGATATCAGTCGATAGTTCATCATGCTCATGCATTCGCGAATTTGCGATATGGAAATTGATTGGTATAAGAGGCGTAAACAAGAAGTTGGGCTTGATCGCTACTGAAAACGTTGTATAGCGTGAAATTCCACACACAATTCCTTAAATTCTTCATCTTGGCATTCCTGTGCAATCATTCCCGTTTTTCAGATTCATTGAAATGTCTGGAGAAGATATCCTTGCAACCTTATTGCTTTTGGACGCAGAAGTGTGTCCTGGTCGATCCATGGAAGAGCGTGCGACGAAGTTACAAACAACATCTGAACTGCTCCTAATCGCTGACAAGCAATTGCATCAAAAGGCTGTGGACGCGTTTCGGTCATTTGTCAACTTCTATGCTACATACCCCCGTGACCTCAAAAGAGTCTTCTGTAACAGAACGATTCATTTGGGTCATTATGCGAAGAGTTTCGCGTTACGCGAGTCGCCGTCGGAATTGGCGCGGTTCCGAAGAAAACAGGTGTTCACGGGGCCACAATGGTAAATCCTTACTTGAAGTACCTAGTTTTGAACTGTGCTCGATTTTTTTTGTGAAGATTTTTCAAGAATTTCTCCTCGTTCCCCATGGAATCGTAGTCGTGTTCGACGCCTGCTCATTTTATTCTTGTCAAATTTTGGGAAATGAGGTACTTCAGAGAATTTCATCGCAAGGATTCTGTAAATAATAGTTTTTGTATTTCTTCCAAATCTGCCCACGCATTTAAAATTTATTATCGTTTTTCACGTGAATTTTGCGAAAAATTTTCAACAATCTTTAGAACAGTCTTCTTGTCGAGGATGGCGATGTGATTTTTTTCTGCGTATTCCCAAAATTTTTGAGTAATCCGGAATTTTTCTTTCGTTGAAAAACTGAAATTCACTTGAAAGGTCTATCACATCAACTTCATGTCTATACTGTCTTCGAAAACAGTACATGAGCTGTTTTCCGAATTGTTGTGATGTCTCCAACATGCGTATATTACCCATTTCGTCGTTTGTCGTAGCTTGTAAAATTCATCTAATTTCCTGTGTTTATTTGTTGAATAATCTCATGCCGAAATCAAGAAAACTTTTGTGATCGAATATACTGTAATTATTTTGCAGGACTGCGGGACCCAAGAAATTCTCACCGGGGGACAGAAGTCAGAGGAATCAAGGAAAACCGAGCAGAACCGGTTTTACCACGAAGGTTACAAGAGCAGAGCGCGTGCCGAGGAAATTCTCCAAGCCTATTTCCGAATTCGATAATGGACTTGATGCAATTGCGAGCGAAATTGGAAAGAAACGAAAGCCACGAAGGTTTTGATGATTTTCGTGCTTGACTTTTATTGCGTGATCCGCAACATACCTTTGCTCTAGTCTTGTCTTTTTCGATTCAAATGCAATTTTTTTTTTCAGGGTTCCTTTTTGAATGGTCGTCTTTTTGTGAGACATGGGTAACAATCGAACTCAGGTGTTATGTGTTCACGTCCCGGGTTTTGTTTATGCTAGTGTGACAGCTGATCAACTGGCAAATCCTGATGGAGAAGCTGTAAGTTGAGTTTGCTGGGCTGTTTTTCGCGTCGGTAATTGGTTTACTTTTGAAGTGTGATCCAGTAAATGACTAAATACACCATGCAAAAAATTATATATATATATATTTATATATATATATATATATATATATACTGTATATATACTGTATACAAATTTGTTGACCATTCCATTGGCAAATTATTTTTGCATGGTTAGATGTCATAGACAATCACAATTTTATTTTGCGAATTCTGAAAAATAATCTGCATCAAGAAATTAATTTCACTCTTCTGGAAATGAATCCTTGAATTTTTAAAGTATCATGATGTGTATCATGTGAGATTTGAAATATTTCAGAAGTTCTAAGATTTCCAATCAACGGCTAATTCCCAAGAACACTATTTTAAGAAATGAAACTTCGATGTATTAAAGTATACATTTTCAAAATTATTTTGATTTTTGCGCAGGAAGGAATTTTAATTGGTACCTGTGATGTCCGTACGTCTGTGAAGGTTACCGACAACGCTGATCCGGAAGAAACGGAGCATACAACCATTCGTGAGTTTCAAGGTGTTGATTTATTCTTTTTCGAAATAAAATTTTCAACTTCGGTTTCAAGGGGTGATGTCGTTCAGAGAAGGGGATTTGTTCAAAGGGTTGAAGTTATTTTCCAAAAATCGACAGAATCAGGGCACAGTTGGAATCGAACGATGGATAATGGACGATGAGGTCAGTGATGATACCCTGTCTTTAAAGTAGGCTGAAATAATTTATTATAAATATTTCAATTAATACTTGTCAGAAGCGTGAAGTTTTAAATATTCAGCTTTACAATAGCCGGTGAAAAAGCATAGTGTAAATTGTTTCGTATTTTTGCTAGAAAATGATCGGATGGTACAGATTTGGAAGAGATCGACCACTGTCGCCTACATTACAAGAATGTATCATGCACAAAAAATTGCTTGAGAGATGTAGTCAACTGATGCCGTTCAGCGAGGATCTCTTCGTTTTCCTTACAATGACCGGAGGTGCTAGTGAATCCAAGGGTTTATTTCACTCATTCCAGTCTCAAAATATCGTCAAAAACAGGTGTGTAATCGTATGATGAATGAAGGGGAATCTGTCCCAATTTAGAATACTAATGCGAAAGATTAAAGGATAAATAGTTCACCATTTGTAGAGAATGTTTTGATCAGTGGTCCGTGATGTAAGGCTCCTCCCGGAATACTGACATTTCTTGTACTTTCCACGTCAATGTCGGACTAATTCTTTGTTGTTGAAGCTTGAATCTTTAAAACGTCCTCCAGGAGGCTATATCAATTTTCAGTTGCGCTGAATAAAAACACTTCTGGCAAAAATGTAAAAAAAAATTCCGACGCGCACCGCAGATGGTGTTTAGGTAATGCGACGTCTTTTCAAGTCCCCAAATTGAGGCTTGCTCTTGAAGACAGGAAAACCGATTTTTATCTTGTCCATGCTTTGTTGTTACAATTCGGCGGCAACTCGAGCGATTTTTACGTTGGAAGTTGGATTGCCTTTTATTTATAGATTTAATTTATTTCTACAACTGCCTGGTTGCTCAATTGTCAATGATCCGATTTTTTTTTTCTTATTCACGTTCCCTTTTAGGTTTCGTATAATCTCGTCGTCTATTCACGAAAAGAAGGGAGGCTCGTTGATGATGGGGAATTATCGACGGAAGCCTTCAGATTATCAAATCGATACTGATCGGCTCACCGCTTCGTAAGGAAATGAAAATTATTCAAAATGCTCCTGACTCACTTCTCAATACAGTATTTCTGTCGATGCCTCGAAATTGATTATTTCTCAGATTTGACGCGAGTATCGCCTCTGCCGCTGTTGAAGCGAGTACAAAGTTGTGCTGCGACTTGGAAGCCGACGTGTCGAGATTGGTTTCCGAAATAGTGTATCTTCAGAAAGACATCTGTGGTGAGTTTCGATCCTCATTTCCCCAAATTCTTTATTTAAACGAATGAGATTTTTGGGTAATTCTCAATTAATTGCCATAAATTAGAAAATGGGCTGTATGCGCAAAAATATGGTACAATACCGTGTAACCTCGGTTAATGGGCTTGATCCGTTTCAGGAGGAACTCATGCTAAGTGGCTCGAACGAGTCAACTGCTAAGTCGTGTAATGATAAAACGGCGAATTTGTCTCAAATCCGTAAGGAAATGCCCTTAGCGACTAATGTGGTTGATGAGTAGTTGTTCCGAGTCTAACACGCGAAATAACACATGATCGAGGAAAGCAGTGCCAAACGCCTTTAATCGCTTGAAAAGCCATGGTAACCATATTTCACGCAGTAAATTCGTAATTTGCTTCTTGATGAGGACGAAAAATTTTCTTGGAAGTTGTTGATTCAAAGGAAAAATGTATTCGATTTTTTAATTTCCTTACGGAACGATGAATTCGTATCGAATCTCTGCGTAATTTCGATGGTAGACTGTCGTCTAAACTGTTTGAATTGTTTTTCCGCGTAAAATACTGCACACAATTATGAAATAAAGGCAAAATCAGTCATGACCGAGGAAAGCAGCGCCAAAAGCTATTATCGCTTTAAAAACTAAAAACACATTTCCTGCAGAAACTTCTGAATTGTTTCTCGAGAACAAAAAAGTACAGCTATTGCAGTTGCTTATCCAAAGTAAAAATGTATTTATTTTCGATAATTAGCATGCGTCTCCGCGTTTGGTTTTTTTCTCTTTCAAGATAACCTGCATCACACTGCGCGGACTGATGCGACGGAACGACTCTTCCAGTCTGGAGGGGATAACACGTCTGCCCCATCTTGCTCTGCTTCTCCTGCTAACCAGTTGTCGACTGCAACAGTTCCTGGTGGTGACCTGCAAAAGGAATCCGCTGTTGATGACCCTGGCGAGGCGTTGGAGCCAGTCTTACCATCTCGTCGTGGGAGAAAACGAGTGCGTCGCAGGCGCGGTAGCCCTCGCAAACAGCGTGGCGTTGTGAGTAGGCGGGTTCATGACAAGAAGATCTAAATCACGGAATGCAGTGTTTCTTTTGGATCTCAGGTGCATTTATTTATTTCGTGAGTGAGTGAGTGAGTTGCTTTTCATTTTTGTTGTGGTGGCTGTATGAAAATTGCTGCCGTGTTGCGGTTTACTTTTACTTAAGTCGAATAAACGCTTGGAATACGATCATTTTACGTAATGATCTCTTCAACTACCTTGGGCTGATTCTAATGTAGAATTTTTTTCAAGCCACGTATCAAAACGTTCACTTTTAAAAATTGTGTCTGCTTGGATTTTTCACGAAATCTTAAATTCGTTCAACTCAATCAAAAACTTTTCGGACTGTCAGTTTGCATAATTATAAGTGACGCTGATATGCTCATTTCAAAGAGCTGCATCATTATCTTCGGGATTTTATTTCAAATAGAAGAGGAAAAGCAGTGAAGCTAGTTCCAAAAACTTCAAATATACGTCTTACATTTTTGATGGGAGGGAAACGACGAAGAAATGAGTCACGTTCAAGTTACTGCATTAACAATGGATAGTTAGTCAAAGATGGATTCATATTTCACTTGACATATTTTTATTTACGCATTATTCACAATGAGTACGTACTGTAGTCATATTTTTTAAATCAAGTTCTGGTGAATCTTTCAGACTTCCATTCATACTTCCCTCATGTAAGCATTTCAAAATTTTCAGTCAAGCAAACACCGGTGAACAACAAATGAAGTGGATGTGGAATTTTTTACGAGTCTGATTCTTAAGAACTTCCTTATCTACTGTTCGTGAATTATTTTTGAAATGCTACGAGAATCATAAAGTTACAGCAATGTCTTGTTTTCTCACGCGGACATTATTTTGTTGCGCCACAGCTAATAATTCGGTCCTTTCTCAGACGCCTTCAAATCAGTAGAATATGGAATTGGATAAAAATCTACTCTAACATGTGTCGTTGAAAACTCTTGGGGATGCCCAAGAGATCAAAGTTTGCCTTTACGCTGGCCAGTGGTTAGCAATCAGCAGTCGTTTTTGTTGTTGAAAATAATGCTTTTCTTGATGTCAGTAATTCGGATTTATTTCTTGCCCATTCCAAATCACAAATCTCAAAAATAGGTAGTAGATTCGTTCTCCTTCCAAACCTTTTTCCTTCTGGCATGTTATAAAATCATTTCCGACACCAAATCGCCATTTTTCCCTCGAAAACTGCGAAGCAACGAATTCCCCAAATTATTCACCCCGAAAAGACGAAGTGGAGATTTCTGGTAAATGCACAATTTTTGCAACCCCAGAATAACAAGGCCAATGTACAGAATTTGTTCCCAAGCTAAAATAAGCTCACAAAAGGGAACACCGTCTAGAAGCGAACCTTTAAATCGCCTGTCCAAAATTCAAATAGATGTCACCGATAACATCCAAAATAACCACTCCCGGAAAGAACCTACATCACCCGAACGAGATTTTTTCTGGGCTTCAGAAGAAATTAAAGAATTTTTTCGCCATAAATATGAAATATGCTTAATGAAGGAGATGAAGCATGTCTCTGAATGCATATGACCTTCGAAGGCTTGATGTCAACGTTTTCTGCCCAGTGAAAAGCTTGGTGCTCAATAAGCAAGAACAGAGTGTTTGCAGCATTGTCAATCATGAGGTCAGGCGTAAATTTTTTTCTCATGTTTCAGAAGTGGTATTTTGTGCGTTGAGATGAAATTACTTTTCATTTTGTATTTTACCTTGGTGAGATTTATCTCTGGAGAAGTGCCGCAATTCAGCGACGGCTGTCCTTCTTTACCGTGTCTGTTTGAGCCAGTGAAAATGGACCACGGTTGTTGTGCTCGATGCCGTTTCGAGACCTTGCTTGGCAGCGGATGGATGTGCGATAGTTGCGATCAACCCGACGTCTGTTGGAACAAGAAGGTTTCTGAAGCGTACATGTGCAGCACGTGCTTGGGTCGGGTTTGGTACCCGTCTACTCCAACCTCGCGGTTTTACTTCGAATGTGCTGGTTGTGACTCATTGTGCGTGAATAAGTCTTGCTTGAGCAATTGATTCTTGTTGAAGTGAGAGGAAAATATTTTTGGCACAATATAACCCTGTGTACAGGGTTACGTGTTATCCTCGCACTTGAGGTGTTTTTGGTGAAACTCAATTACCTGACCGATTATTGTATCCAAGGTTAAAATTTAATGTTCAGTAGAATCTCATGACGAAATCATGCTTGAAAACAATTTTTTTTTACAGTCCCTGCTTCAGAAGCGTGATGTTCGAACCTTAGAGAATCACATATTCAGATAGCTTCATTGTGACAAGATTCAGTTATAAATTCTGTTATATTTTATTATACTGTACAGAACAAGGAATGGTTAATCCAAAGTATATCACTGGGAAATTTGTGTAAAAATATTCTTAAATAGAGCTCCAAGTAAAAGTGTATTTTCGAAATCTGAAGTACTCCTACAATACTTGAGGGGCCCCAAAACTAATTTCCGAAGAGAAATTATTGCATATGACCTTTTTCAGCGATTGATGGGACTCTTATGGAAAGAAGATTTTTCTACTGTATTTAAATGGAGAATAGCACAGCACGTGGGTTGATTGCAGAGGGAGTCTTGCAATACTGTATGAAGCAAAAAAGAACATAGTGATTCCGAAGAACATTTTTAATCCCCATGCGAGTGAGCAACTGCGTTTCCGTAGCGCGTTTCATCATCCGAAAATTTCGATTTCTTCGTATGAGTATCCATCGCTGCAATGCTAAGGCACTCAACGGTTGTGACGTTGAAAATGGTGCCTTTTTAATGCGTCTTCAAGTCCACACGAAATTTCCCACGATGCAAGATTCTCAAAACAACTTTTTATCAATGCGGAATTTATTGTGACTAGAGTTAAATTGACTCACTCATGGAAATTAACTCAAAAAGGGGTTTTAATGAAATGGTGGAGTGGAAGTTAAACTATCATATTAAAAATGAGAGCGAATATCTTTGGAATACTCGTAGGAAATTCTTCAATCTGTAGAACTGTACATCTCTTGGAGACAAAGGTTAATCAAATTTCTTTTTGACATTATCTACTCTAACGCCATAAATTGTATTTATCAAATGAAAATAGTGGCTTCCTTCAAGTATATTTTATGTTAAAAGTCGATGTTGCAACCAACATAATGACATACATATCTGGAAAAGCCGCGAATGAACAGGTAGAACAGTTTCAAGATGCTTTCTCCGCTTTCAGTTCACGGCTTATTTTCGACTGATTTTCTGAACATTAATGACAATATAAGACTTGAAACTAATTTTTTTCTGAATGAGAACAGAAAAACTAAGTCTAGTATTTTTTCGGTAGAAACTCGGACGTCTGACGCGAGTCTATTTTCGTAAATGATCATCAACTACAACTATAGACATATTCAAGATTGATCTCCAATTCGTCGATCAGCATTAGCTTTCGCTGCCGTGAGTAGTCTTTGCAGATCTTTCTCAGTGAATGTCAAAGCGACTTCATTTTTCCCATCGGCAGTCTGCTTCGCGTTGTTCCCGAAAACCAGAGGCTCGTCCATTTCTTCGGACCACGGCGAGTCTGAGCCAGAATAATTATCATCCTTCGCGTTGTTCACTCTTTTAATCGTCTGAGTCGCTGGTCTGTGTTCATTCTTCACCAGTCCCAAGCGTTTGCTTTCAGTGCTTGTGTCTCGATCACCCACAGGCACAGGCAACAAGTCACCCGAAGAAAGAGCCCTCGACATCCCCGACTTACTTTGCATTTGAACAAAGTCTGCGTAATTGGATTCGGCCTTCTGCTTCGTGGAGCCTGCGGTTCGCGGTCTTTCCACGTTACTGTTGGTGAATTGCGAGAATGACGTTGCGATGCGTTGAGCTGGAATCGGTGGCACCTTGTTGTGCAGTGTGAAAGTGTCTTTGTAGTTGGTGTTCGTGCTCAGTTCCCCGTCGAGTGACAATTGCGCCTTTTGCGGTTTAGCCACGGACTTCTCAGCCTTTTTCGGAAGGAAGTCTTTGGAGTAGCTGGATTCGAGGGAGAGTTCTCCTTCTTGCGTCAGAAAGGTCTTTGGTCTCGTTTTCGGATTAGTGGTATTATTGGGTTTGAATTGCGTTTTGTGATTAGTTGTCTTTGCCAGGACAAAAGTTGCGTCCTTATTTGAATTGGGAATAACGGGTCGGAGTTGATTGAAAGATTCCGCGGGTATCTCGGCTTCTCCGCCGGGTTTCAACGTGGCTTGTTGTCTGGGTGCAATGATTTTACTCACTCTATGTCCCGGAAATTGATCAGCATAACTGCTAAATTGGTTGTGGAACGTTCCTTCGAGCCCGAGATTGTTTTTCTCTTTGAAAGCCTCGACTTTCTGAAAGTCTACAAGTTGGAAATCTTCCTTGTGATTTGTTCCGGCATCAAAGGGACCCTTGAATTCAAGATGGCTCCCGGGGTTTTTCGCGATTATCTTGTGTGTTCTGAAATGCTTGAATTCGTCTTGATACCAACTCGAATTTGAAGTAGCATCAGGGTTGTCAAATTGTATGTTAGTACCGCTAGCTTCTTTAAAAGACGGATTGTGAACCGGATCGAATTCGTGGAATTCTTCCCTGTAAATACTTCGAGCGTCGAAGTCTCCTTCCAGTTTCAGGGCTCCTTGTGGTCGTGGAGCTATGCGTTTTGTGTTCTGATGGTTCATGAATTCGTTTTTGTACGAAGAATTGGCGTCCAAGTCACCCGAAAGTCCAAGATTATCAACCTCTTTGTGTCTCCTTCCTCTTGAAGGAGCCTGTGACACTTGATCATTGAAATCGTTTTTGTAACTCGAAGCTGCTTCCATACTGCCTTCTAGTTGCAAGCTGTCTTTATGTCTAGAAGCTATGTCCTTGCTGACAATCCTTCCATCGAAGCTGGTGGAATAATTTGACTTTCCGTCAAAGTCGCCCGAGGGCTTGAGGTTGTCAATTTCTTGCACAGTTCGTCGACGAGTCACTTGAGTGCTCGGTTGATAGTCTTGATAAGTGGTTGATGCGGTGAAGTCTCCGTCAGCTTTCAAGTTGCCCTCTGGGCGTTTTGCGATTTGCTTGGACGGGGAATGGGGAGGGAAATCTGATTTGTACAGAGATTCTGAAGAAAAATCTCCCGCCACGGTTAAATGCCCAGGATCGAGAAAGTTTCTTGAAACTCGTGTCGGAAAGTTTTTCAACATTTCTGCTTCGTACTTTGTTCCCTAGAAAACGAAAAAAATACATTAATGGAGAAACGAGACCGACTTGATCAGAGATTCTTCAAATGGCAATAAAGCTTTTAATGAGTGTCAGTGCATGATGACGAAACCGGATATTCAATTTACGGGATTTCTTTTCATTAAAAAAAAAGTTACCATTCAGATCAAATGATGGTGAGGTACAATTGGTACTATGTAACACCTGTGGATCTTGCCAACCCTTCAAATCTCCCGAAGTCAAAAACCTCCTAAATTGAAATTTCCAATGAATTTATTGCCAATTCCCTCAAGACTAATTCAACTTGAACCTCCTTTACTTGAAACTTTTTGAGTCAAAGTTTCAAGTAAAGGTATTACCTCCCTCAGTCTAAATTTTGAGGTCTTCCTGTTGGTAAATTAGGGCTACATTTTAGAATACCTGTTCCAGAAAACCGAGAAACAGACGCGAAGACCTTTATCATTCGTTTTATTTTTATTGTGAACAAATAATGACAATTATTTAATTACACAAAATAATGTAATTCTGTATGATAATTCAGTGCTACATTTGGAGAAGATCGCCACACTCTTGCATAATATTTAATTTTCGCAGTCTGAAGATTGAATGAGTTCGGATTCACAGTTACTCAAAAAGGATGAGCAATACGGAACAAAATTGATGAACCCCACTGATCCGTTTCCTCTTGACTTGAAAACTCGCGGAAAATGATATAAATAGAAAGCGTTTCTTATTGAAAGAAATCCTACATGTTCCAATAACTACTTAAGAGTTCCCAGAATATTAATGTCCATGATTTTCTGACCGTTAAATTAATCAACTCCGTAGTTTTAAGTCATTCTATTCTCACCTTGGTTCCGTTTTCCGATAAATATTCACTTTTCAGTTCACTTCCGCTTTGCTTTTCATCCACAGCGCTGTAATCATCACTGAACGAGGATTTTTGAGCGAAATTACCATCCAAGGATAGATTTGATTGCCTCTGGTTCCTGCTTGTGGTCGTGATGGTTTCCGGGGTCTTGAAACTGGCTTGATGAACTGTCTCCGCAACGAAGTCTCCCTCTAGCCGCAAGTTCCCCCGTCTGGGAAGAGGAAAACATTTTGTCTAAACGTAAAATCCTCATTAAAAAAGCCTTTTCCAAAGCAGTTGGTTGAAAAGGATGCTTCATACTTTCAAGTTCTAGTAGTACTGAGTCCTTGGTAATCAAAAATGAAAATAAAAGCGGAAGCATATCGATTTCATGCTTATTTTCTATTTATAGAAAATGGTCATTAAATCTGGAAAATTGTCATAGAGGCCATTTGTAGAGGGTTCGCAATATTTTTCGCGATAACTCATAAAAACCGATAGAACACGTAAAATATGGTTCTAATAAGTGTGACAGAAAAATCGAATACAGTAACAAAAAAAAAAAAAGGGTTTGCTTTCTGTTCTCAATTTCATCACGCGAAAAAAATGGAATCGTGGGTCACAAGAGATCAGGTAAATTTACCCTTTTAATATGCGCAAATCAGGTATCTGAGCTTCTCTTGTCAGTATTTGATTCAATATTCATTCGTAGCTCTTAATCCAACCATGTCTGAACAGTTGTGAATTTTGAACAATTTTGCCCCCCCATCACAAAGTAAAACGAATAAATAATTCCAGCGATCACTCACTTGAGCTTCTGGATATTTTCAGGCCTTTGTCGAGCAGCTTTCAGTGCGTCAGGATCGTAGTCCTCAAATTTCTTGTATGCAAAGCGTGTGTCATCTCCGTCCGTCACGTAGTTGAGTGTATTCGCAGGAACGGCGGATCTATGTTTCCTGTACACTTCCGGATCAAAATCACTTCGGTTATTGTAATGCTCGAATCTCGCGTCCGGTTGACTGTAGTCGTATCCTAAGGGATTGTAAGACGCTGGTACATTTCCTGAATACGGTTGTTCAGCGCTGTAAGCAGGTTCTTCTGCTGCGTAAGTCCCTAAGCCTTCGATGTTGTCCAAGTTGCCGAAGTTGTTCAATGAGTAAGGATCTTGGATTGTGTTTAATGCGTACGAAGTTTGTGGGATTTGAAGCTGCCCTGGGTCATATGTTCCGAGATAGTCATCGTAAGGATAATCACTGCTGAGGATTGGGAACAACGAAAATTCTTGGCTTTTAAACTCGGTATTGAATCCACACTTGGTGATCAACTTGAAAATATATTGAGCTACAATGCTGTCAATAAAACCTAATTGAACGATTATAAATGTATGTTAACTTTCTGACCTCACCGCCGATGTTGGAATATTTTTGACCTTTAGTAAAAACTGACTGTCATTTCTTTTTTACTTTCGGTATCTCCTGTCTCCGAAATTCGGCCACGAAAAGAGATAAAAATGTAGATTGTGATGCACTTATAAAAATCGATGTTCTACAAAAGAATGATTTCACTGTACACGCTATTTTCTCAGTGGGATTTTCAGCGCAGGTTGTACATTGATGAACTTCAATTGTTGAGCAATAAATTGCCACAACACAAAAATTAGGAATTACGAAGGATCCATCAAATGCGAAGAAACAAATCAAGAGAAAAAACACGTTAATCAACCTCAGACAAAGCCGGAATTCCAATTAACAGTAATTGCAACCATTATTGAAACTAATAAGGTAATTCATTCACTATGGACGTTTTTTTTAAATTTTAATTAGCTTCACAGAGGTTTCACACTTTCAAGTCTTAGAATTAGTTCGAGTTTGGCATTTTGTAGTTCAAAATCCCTTGCGGCTCAACTATTGCTTCCCAAGTACAGTACAGTTCTTTTTTCGGGGCAGGAATTTTTCCCACTACCTGAAATGCTGCTCTTGACCGTACGCATCATAGGCCATTAGGGCAACCTGAAACTGGGTTAGATCGAAGGGCTAACCTTGATCCTTGGCGTGGCACACCGCTGGATAAACTACAGTGACGTCAACCAAGTGCGCGTATGGTTTTCTACCTCTCCGCATTATTCATTACCTAGGTTGCGAGCTGTCAACAATTGTAACTCTGGCAACGGCTGAACTTTATTCCCTCTCTGCATTATTGTTGCGTCCTTACTCATGAATAGAGGGGAGTGTTGACTGAGTCCTTGCACGAAACCATGGAAAACATAACCAGGTAGTATTACTTGAAACACTGCACAACACGAACTTCAGCTGCTAGAAGAACAAATCGTTTAAAAATAACCAGTCTTAAATTTTCCAACAAAGCGTCGGAATTCCAATACAGTATCTTGTGAATACAATCGCCAACATTTTCAGTTCCACTGGAGTTAAAATCTGGATTTCAATAGGAAGTATTCAATATGAAGATGGTGTTTTAAATTTGAGTAAGATAGGTTCTTGCGCTTGAAGAGAAGTGAATGCAATTAGAGTGTACCTCACATAATCAGGCAAGATTGCTTACATCCGTTGACACAATGGAGGCATGTCTTAAAATCAATGTCGTTCTACATTCTCAAAAACCGGTAGATGCCGCGCCCTCCGAGGGACGAAATTATCCAATAAAACACTGTTCTCGAAGAAAATCCTACACTTCATCCGTTTAATGAGTTGTAAAATTGTAAAAAAAAAAATGCTCGAGCAAAAAAGTTCAATCGCGTTTTGACAATGCCTTGATCATAACGCAACCTAGATCCAACAGTTGCAGATATTCATCGCCACCAGCCATCAAACGGTGATCAACAACTGCAATTTTCTCCGTTACTGTAGCCTTCAAGCCACAGCTGAACTCGTGTTCATTCATCGTGACGACCCAGTCGTGCAACTGAATCAGAAACTGATACCCAGAAAAACCCTTGCTGAGAAGGTCCTCGACAGAAAGCTCCATTTTCTCAAAAGAATTTCGCTTGCAAACTGCGATGAAGTCTGCAACGATTTGAGTCGGAACTGTTCCGGATACCTCATCCACGTCCGAGGGTTCAATGGCTTTTCCGGATTTCAACTTTGACAGTGACTGAAAAAGCGTGATGGCCTGTCGCAGATCGCCTTCGGAAACGTGATGCAGTCGTTTGCCGGTTTCACGACTGCAATCCATGCTCTCTTCTTTCGCGATAAAGTTGAGTCTGTCCAAAACGAGGTCCATACCTTAGAAAAAATTGTTAGAATTTACTTGAAAATAAATACGCCCCTGTCTTCGAAAATAGCCAACAAATTAGGTTACGTCTAATTTCTTGGATTTGCTGATAAAAAAAGTACGCTTGCTTTAGACCAACACGACCCTGAGGATTGAATCTTCTAAAAATGCGATCAAAATTTTCTCTTCAGAACATTTCCAGTTCAAGAGAACAAGAATGAAGATCCTCGTTTGAGAATGTTCAATGAAGCATGAGAAAAAAATTTTCGCTATCAAGGACGTAAAATGATACAATTTGCATAAAAGCCTCTTCAAACATTTCTGACGCCGCAAACTTTTCAACACACACACTTAAGGGTTAAAATTGTGGAAAGTTTCAAAATCGAAAAAATCCTGAAAAATTTCAACGCATAAAATATGGTACCCAACTTACCCAAGGGCTTGAAGCGGAACTTGGCACAACGAGATGTAATAGGAGCTATAATTCGGCTCACGTAATTGCAGATCAAGCAAAATCTCGTGGCTTTCGATTCCTTCTCCATAGTGCGTCTCAATGCTGCCTGAGCGGCGTTAGTCATTGAATCGGCCTCATCCAGAATAATCAATTTGAACGGCGGACATGGCTTTCCACTGATGAACAAAATTGTACAAATAATCACTTGCAGTTAAACAAATCATATTCCTAAAAAATGCATCCGAAATTTGGGTACGCGTTTTAGAGCCCGATTTCACTCTAAATATTCGAGCGAATACCTTGCGAACATTAAAATCAACGCAAACAAGGATAGACTATACAATTTCTTAAAAAAAAAGGTAATTTAACAAAATGAACCCGAAACATAAAAAAGAAGATCTGGAGACATCTTGATGCAAAATCAATGCAACTCACTCTGAACGCTTTCCACCAGCAGTGAGTTGAGCAAAATTCTTTATCTTTTCTCGCACCACCTGAATGCCTCGCTCATCCGAAGCGTTCAGCTCTAGAACACGGCGATGGAACAAGTCACCGAACAGGTCCCTGGCGAATGCCAGAATCGTGGACGTTTTCCCGGTTCCCGGCGGTCCGTAGAAGAGCACGTTAGGCATCTAAAAAATAAAAATTAATCTTTGAAGGAATGCTACTGGAAACTGCGTTGTTGATCAATAAATTGCTGCGCGGGCTAATTTGAGACCAAGAGAGAATGCATAAATGATGAATGAAAATAATTAAGCGACAATATCAACGAGTCGCTTCAGGGTTTATTTAATACAGCATTGAACGATTCGTCTCCAAAAGGGGAGTAATAATTCTACCCAATCCATTTTTAACGAGAAACCGTGTCGAATAGCTAACAATTCTCGGAATTAATCAGGTTGACATGGCATCACTGCCCAATCGGACACCATCATCACTCGGAAAACAAAACTGATATTTTTACAGAAATTTTTGCAGTGAAGAAAATGGAAACGTATTCACGAGATGTCAACAGGTCTACCTTCAAGATTTCCAAAGAAAGAAATAATCCTCTAAATGGAGAATTCAGCGAAAAGGGAGTCTACACTTCAACAAGACGGAAATTGAAATTCTATGCTCACGTCTCCACCAGCTAACGTATTCTTCATGACAGCAACAACTTCTTCCTGGGCAGCTACATCGTCCACAGTTCTAGGGCGACTGAAATACGCAGAAGATATGTTCACACCTCAGGAAAAATTATCAACCCCGAATAAACAGAATATCACATTAATGAACGAACTTACCCTCGTTACCTGTTCTTCCCGGAAAAATCATAGAAATTTGACGAAGCGAAAATTGAAGAAAGCTTCTAATTTAATTTCTGAAATTGGGCCTCCATTTACTCGTTGAAAAATGGAAGTCGATTTCCGCGGGAAAGACGATATAGAATATCGATTAATTCAATCATTTAATGGAGTAAGACAAACATTTTCACGCGGAAAGCACAGTACTTACTATTTTTCAACCCATGGCACAGGACCTGATTTCTTCTTCTCTCCGGAGCCCGACTGCACAGGTTTGACACTCTTCACCCCTTTCAAAAAGGCGTCCATTCTCAACACGAAGCACGATCAATGCTACAAATTATTCAATTACAGAATCTGCAACGTGAGAATGATAATTCTCGTCAAAAGCATGAACTCGTTTAAAGCAACAACAAATCGGAGATTCCACTAGAATAAATTCCGAAGAAAGTTAACGCCGGAAAACTGCTCAGCCACAAAAACAATGTGATAAAAATAAATAAAAGATGAAAAATGCGAATGAATTATTCGTAATTGTAGCGATAATATTTCCGCCCAGGATAAAACAGCGGCTCATCCGGCTGTGTGTCGGAACCGCTCAGAAAACTGGATCGGTCCGTCGATACATTCTTCCACGCCTTTGCGGGTTCACCAAAACCACCACCAGCACGGTCGTCGTCAGTGTCGCTTCCACTCGTTCCTTCATCTGCCGGTGACAGTAAAGCAAGAGATGACATTTTGAGGACTAATGAGAGGACATGCAAATACTGTACAGAAATATACTCTCGGAGAGACGGAATAAAAGAAAAATAGAAAGGATGATCAATATTCTCTTTGCGGAATAAATATTTAAGATGATTTTTACACGTTTAATAACCACTGAACCCCTGCCTTCATTAGAATATCGTTCGCGAGATTTACAACCAAGAATTTTTCCTGAAAAGGTATTCAAAAACAAAATCGAAATCAGCAGTACCTCCACCCTCCTCAACTGATTCTTCTTCAACGAGATCCACAAACTCGACGTTCACATCAGCCCAATACATGTTTCGTTCCTTTTGTTTTGCCCAGCAATAAAGTAAAAATGTCAGCAACGAAAAGACCAAAAACGCGGACAGCCAACAGCCGAGATTCCCAGCCTCCCAGATCTTTGCCCAAATACTCATCCCAGGCCGTTGTATAGTAGCCCTAAAAAACGTGAAGAAAAAACGCCAAAATAAAAAAAAAATCCGAAAAAAAAACTCAAGAATTTACGTTCATGCATGAGCCAAAAAACTCCTGGCGGGGAAAAAGCTATCTGTTACCTAGAGCTAAGCTATATTTTACACGGAAAATTTAAATGCTGTACATCAGAAACAGACAACTTCACTTTACTTCAAAACAGAAAATTAGACAAAATTAAATCTGAAAGAATACACACGGTTTCGGCAACGCATTGCCCATGATTTCATTCAAATATTCCGAGTCGACAGGCGGAGGTTTCAAAGCAAAACCAGGCCCTTGATTCAACCTCGCCTGAACGAAGGGGTCTTGTGGCAGGAGGCGTGGATTGGGCATCGGAGGTGTTGGAGCCGGCAAACCGCCGGGTTTTGGTAACAACTTGATCTGTATGTGCGGCATATTGCTGACCTGCCCTTTTCCAGCTACCAACCACATTTCATGGCAACCATCAGAACTCAAGTACGAAAAAAAAACAAACCCTCAAATCACTCACCCAAGTTATTCAACTTCAGCGAACACCGGACTTATTATCTTTCCAACGATCAAGTACCCATTACTGCAATTTCTTCCAGAATAACACCTTCACTGTGCTTTCGCGAAAAATTTTGATTTCGGACTAACGGATACCGAGAGGATCCCGGCGCGGCGAATTGCGACTCACTCATTTTCACAAACGAAAATCCGTTCATCTGAAAGGCGAAACACGACAGGCTTTTTAAAAGTTTCACTTCGATCTTACAAACTATCTTTGAAATTCTGATCGCGACTAGAGAAAATTATCTACATATGTGCAAGGCAAGTGATGCTATGGATATTATGCTAAATATGGGGAAATCCAGATATTTCACCAGCGATTATAAAAAGATTCGCTCACAACTAATTTAAATTTTCATAGGCTTGAATGGTCAGAATAGGCAGTTCAATTTACGAATAAAATGCTTTCTAGAACACTAATTACAGGAGTCTGGCCATAGCAAATCCAAGAAGTTTCACGAAAGCCTGGCAAACATGATAAACAAACGACGAACAATCTTCAAACGTATAAAAAGTTTTTTTACCAATCTTCATTTCCCGTCCCATCAAATCGATTCGGACAGTTTTTCCGATTGTGTCCAGTGTTACCACAAATACCACATTTTCTACCCCCTGGTGCACCTCGACCTGCTCCAGTTCCTCGACCACGAGCTCGACCCCTTGAAGTACCTCGACTTCGGATGGGTCTCTCAAAAGAGCCCGTATTTCTTGGTATCGTAGGAGCAACCGACGAGGGGTTGGAATCAGCCCACAGGAAAAACGAACACCTTCCGGCATCGCCTTGGTTCTTGCTACAAACGTAGAATTCCCTACCTTTATTTGGACCTTCCTTATTCACCGTAAACCTGTAAAAATGAATCAGTTGAAAATACTGTACTCACACAAAAACACAACAAAAATGAATCTTCGTCGGTTGTGCCCACTGGCGTTCCGAGGCCATGATTCATTTTATTTTCAGAAGATTTTAATTGAAGTCCACTAATTGCTTAGAAATTACAGTAATATCCGACTAGGATAAGTGGTCTTGAGTTCGACGTGAACTCAAGAAAACTGGAAGAATCTCAGTGATAATTAGAAGAATCATGCGGCTGCTCGTCTTATGCGTACTTTTTTTCATGTACAGTAAAACTGTGATTGAATTAATGCAGCTGAAGGCATCAAATCAAGGGTCAGTAGACATTATATCAATATAAATTTAATTTGTTGATAATTCAGAGGTGGGTTACATATTTTTAAATAGATCACAGTTGAAAGATCTATTCTCAATCCAGTTAAATCGGAAAATTGAACAACTATCGCCACTGACTTTCTCGCAACAACGTTGCAGTCACACATGTACTCCTGGACATCGTTGCTCGGTCCATCCCACGATCCAGGATTCGAAAACGATCCTCCACTGTTCACTCCAAAAGAAGAATTTGACCCGTTTAGCTGAGGCGCAGGAAATGAAATTGTCGATCCCGTGGGTCTATCGCGAGGTGCAGATACGGCATCTTCCCATGAGAAGAAATTGCAGTCCGTACCATTGGATTTTGCACACGCGTAAAACTTTCTTCCTAAAAAAAAAAAAAAATGAGGTTCTCGTTTACCGGCACTAAGGAGAAGTGAAGCGAATACTGTACTCCTGAAATGAAAATCTCACCAGTATTCGGACCCTCTTTCTTCACGGTCAGCAAATTGGCAGGATTCCCACATTTGCATTTCACTTCATCGCCAACGTCACTTCTGTTATTCCCTTGGGTTACGTCCCGATGATGAGAGTAGGTATTTGGGATCCTGCTCATGTTGGACTGATTATTTCCTCTTGGAATAGGAAATGTCGCGGAGCTGACTGAAACGGAACAAAAATTACAAGAATCAAATCATGCATCAACAGCCACAAAAATTTTCACATTCAAGGAAGAAATTGAAAGTTATTGTACCAGCAACATCAAATTTACAACCCATACACTTACTTCCTGACATGAATGATACTGTCTACCAAGATCATAATTAAAAAACATATACCATGCCAGTCAAAAACGCGAAGTTTGACAGTAGCTTGGAAGTGAAGAAAAATCATTCTTTGATGAGACACAGCGTACGTCGCTTTTTACGTACGGCATTGCAGGTTGAATGGGAATTTTCAAAGGTAGTTTTCACTCAAATGGAACTACAAACTGGCATGTAATGACGAAGTCTGTCCACACCTGAATTTAATACTCCCACACTCCTACTATCAGGAACTGCCGACGACGTCGTTCTGGACTGAAAAACACTGGCGATACTTCCACTTGAAGCCTCCTTTTTCGGCAATGGTCGTAACTGAAACCGCTCCAGCTCGGAACCTCCACAACGCAAGCAGAACGTGACGCTTTCTTCACTCGCGGCAGCGAAAACGCCGCGGGGGACCCGAAAAGTGGCCTGATTCAAGTCACACTGCCGACACTTGCTCGACACAGATACGTCCGTGATTTCAGACGGGAACCACGACACAACTTTGCAATCCGGGAATCCCATGCAAGCAGCCATCCAACCCCCTTGTTTCTTCGCTTTCAGCATCATATGACTGTCGCACTTCGGACATTTTCCGAAAATAGAATTCGTCGGACGACTGAAGCTGGGGCGGTCATCATCCGGACGAGGGCCACCTCCTCCTCCTCCACCACCACCTCCTCCCCAACCACTGCCATCAACTGAAGCTCCGCCATTGCCTCTAGCTTGTCTCTCACGCAATCTTCGTTCCAATGCTTCATCCAATTTCGCAACCTAATTAATTGAACAAAATGGAATCTTACCAATAAAAGCTCAAAATCTTCTACAGAGTGAGCAAGGAGAATTACTGACAGAGAACAGTAATACTGTACGACCTAATTCAACACAGAAAGCCTGCAAGATTCAATGCATTCAACTTAGGAATATATAAATTAAATTTCCATGAAAGAGGTTTTTCAGTTCAAGCCTGAAGCAACCAAATTTTACGTACATTTTAACCTTCTATAGTTAGAACCGAGTTTTCTGAACAAAATGCTACAAGGAATTAAAAAATAGAACAAAGAACATGACTGAAGACAAAAGATAAAAAATGAAAAGAAAAAAAAAAAAACTCACATCAGCCATTCCAAGCCGGAACACCTCTTCGTACTTGCCGATCTGATCACTCAACACTTCATCAGGATTCTTTCTTCCATCGCAAATTGCAGTGAGATCACTTTCCAAACCTGATCTCAAATGTGGCTTCGACAAATGGAATCCCATTGCATCGTATCCCTCAACCAAGCCAAGGCCCAAATCACCGGGCAAGAACCTCGAATCTCCACTCGTCAACTTGACGTAATTTCTCGCTTTTATAGTTTCAATATGGTCAGCATGAGTAGCATCTGTCCCAATCCCGTGGGCCTCCATCAACGCGATCAGGTCTGCTTCCGATAGTAGCGGCGGCGCAGTTGTGCTGCCTTCATGGATGTCCAGCGAACTGGGCACGAATTCTTCGCCTCGTTCGTAGGCTCTCAGCTCCTTATCTGACCAGCGATCATAGGGATAAACCTCGAGATACCCTCGGTCCGTGATGATCAATCCATTGGCGGAAAACTGAGTAAGAAGGAAAACAGCAGTTATAAATCAGAGAAAAATGAAACAGTTTGTTGGACGAACCAATTCTTCTCCGAGCTCAACATCAACCACCGTTTCCATCCCACGGGCATCGCGAGAACAACACGCTAGGAAATGCCTCGCAATGAATTCGTATACTCTCGCTTCTTGGCCAGATAACCCGGTTCCAATTTTCAATGGATGAATCGGAGGATGAGCATTATCACTTTTCTTTCCATTTCTTGGATGAGCTCCACCAGAATTTAGGATGTTTCTGGCAAAATCTGCAACACACACGTGTAAAATCTTGATTAATTACGATAGTTGACAATATACAGTATTCATGCAATATTCCTACGTTCACAAGATACTGAGCTTATTATCGAAGCAATGCCAACATTCGATTATGCAAAAACAGGATGAAAAATTTTTTGCAAGCTAGAATAATTATATTTTTATGAATGTTGAGGAGCTTCTTTTTACATTCACATCCGAGCACGTATTCCGTTTCTCTACAAAGTATTAGTAATTTTTTACATTTTCCCCAGAGCAAAAAATATCTACACGCCTTAATTGGATATCATGAGATTATTATGCTATTCGAAAAGTACTGTCTTTTCAAAGTTTTAATCCGAGCTAGAAAATACAGGAGTGACGGTAGGCTACATAATTGTTCTGCAACTTATTCGTTCAAGGAAATGAGATATATTATAATTTAAGCTAGATCAGTAAAGACGGATGTAACAAATCAATTAAATACACTTGAGAATGAGCAAAACTAAAAAAGGGGATTGCATGGAAACGAAGGAGTTCCGCCAGTCAAAAACGGCACTACAGTACTCACCTTGCCATCTTTCATCTCCAGCAATACTTTCAATCAAATTATTCAGATTTATCTCCTTCGGGAAGATATTTGTTTCTGTGCGCGGGTAACTGATGAAACCTCCGGTGTAAAGCTTCTCCGCAATCTTCATCATCTCTTTAGCATTGATCTTTAGTTTCCAAGACCCGAGCTTCTCCATTTGCTTGGATGAAAAAATTAACTCGGACCTTACTCTAGAAAGGAAAATGGAGTACATTTACATACAATCGTGTCCAATGCAACAGGCCTCCATTTGCTAGTCGGCTTCTGCGTCACCGCTGTGACTTTTGCTCTGTTCGATTCCACACAGATGTTGTAGAATATGTCTGCTGCACGGAAGCTGAACACTTTTCCTCGTTTCCAGTGGAACTCGGTTCGATTGCCATCTTTTTCATCGAACAATCTCAGTTTCCAGAAGGGTTCCGCTTGAAAATCTTCGTGAGCTTTATATCGCTCTACGACGAATCCCAGAGTAGGGAATTGGCAACTTCCATAGCTCACGAGGCTATTCGTGAGGGTTCCCGGGAACAACTTCTGATAACGTAAGGTCAAAAAACGAGTGAACGCTGCGCCGATCCGCAGATCCAACTCCATACGGACATCCACAGCTTGACTGAGTTTTTCGTCTGGTCGTTCTAGGTTTCGCACCGCACGCCATACTGACGGTTGCGTTATTTCCGAAAACTTTGCCCTGCACACGAAAATATCGCGATCATCTGGCTGCTGATCGCGAACAATTTCATATCAACCATCACCTGTATATATCAATCGTAGGCACAGCCTCCCTGCAAACCTGGGCGACTTCAAACCCAATATTTTCCCCTTCTCGATCACAATCAGTCCAAATAATGAGAGCCTGACATCCTCTCACTTCTTTCTGAAGATTCCGCTATTGAAATCAACTGTTCATTGTTCAGAGTTTTATTAAATTAATTTTAAAATTATCTGCTCACCTTGATCGGAAGATAATCGTCAGAACAGTATTTTCCGACTGGTGCACGGAAGAGTAGAAGAGGATCACAACCTTCCCATCGTTTGTAAGAACCTCCGAAGTCTAGACCAAGTAAATGTCCAGAAACTGACGTCATAACCATGGAACACTTCCTCCCGAAGAGATCCAACTGAAAATCGTAGTTTTTGTTGTACGTGGACAACCCATTTCTCTGAAACCGAACAATGAACTTTCACATCTTGACGATAAATAATCACTGTAGAAACTCACGGCAGGCACGAATTGTCCGACCAATTGACGAACGATGTTTTTCGCGGCGTCATTCTTCTCGGCAACGTTCAGTACCTTCATAACTTCAGGGATCTTACTGAACAGCCGAATTCCCACACAAATATGCTTCGCAAAGCATAGTTTCATTCCCCCATTAGCGGGCTTTCGTCGTGCAACCCGGAAAGATATTCACCTTCTCCCTGAACAGTCCAGCAATCTCATCATTACCGCTACAACAAATGCCTCAGTTGAGGACAGAAACATCAGCAAACTTGGCGCGCAACGGCCATATTTCAGACTTCAATCAAAGAGCTCCAATCTGTCGAGAGTCAGTTTTGGGAGAAGGTTCACAGCTCAGTACTGTACAGTACAGTACAGTATCCGCGGGCATAGATTCATGGATTCGTTTCAAAATCACCGAGTCGTTCGTGTTTCCATAATTATCGTGAGATGGAAGTACAGTACAGTATACTGTATCTCCATAGCTTCCTCTCGGGGCGGAAAATCGTACATGCGTATAGACAGCGACATCTACATTTTTTTTAAAGATTTGCATTCTTTGATTCAGATAACCCATCCTTGTTGACCGTAATTTTTGATGTACATCTCTGAGTGCTCGTGTCCGGGCATCTTTTCTAGGAAAGCGTGAATTGCTCATGCTTCGAATATTATTCCAGTTAGCTGTGATTGAAGCCCTCAGAATTGTATGTTGTTAAACTTCCACGTCCGGTTCTTGGGTGATGATTTTGCAGTTAAAAGTTGAGCTCACTGTGCGGATGTGAATGCGGCGTGTTTGAAAGATCGCTATGCTGGAGGCTGCAAGTTCTGGTCTCCCTCGGCCGAAGCTGTATGCTGGCCACTTGGAGTTTGTGACGAAAGAAGTGAGTGCTTGCTTTGCGCAAAATGACATTTTTCTGAGAAAATGTTTAATCCTCGCAGGAAGTCAGCCTGCAGCGTCGGAGCTATGCACCCGAGCCGCCTGTCAAACGCAACCAACGAGAGAGTATCTCGCATGCTACAGCTCTCTCATTTCGTGAAGGACCTAGTGACCGTGAGTCGATGAAGACCTGTTCCAACTCCATTAATTGACCGGTAATGCAATTATTTTTTGTTTTCAGATTTGACCATGAGTCGGTTGTACGATACCACGAAGCCCGACCCGTACTTTCGTCAGTGCTTCGATGTGCTGGAAGATATGGGGCGAGGTTCATTTGCGGTTGTGTACAAAGTACGAGACAAAGAAGATGGTCGATTGTATGCAGTCAAAAGGTTCAAAAACCGTCGAAATGTTGATCGGTAAATGCTTCAATTTCGTTAGTGTGAAAAGTGATGAAATCAATGGAGTGGTTTTGTGCGTGTGTCCAGAAAGCGACAGGAAGCTGAAGTTAAACATCACGAATGCATTCCACCGCATCCGAATATTGTCAAGTTCTATGGAGCTTGGAAGGATGATGATCAAATTTATATGAAAATGGAATTGTGTGATATGGCCCTTGCCGACTATTTGGAAACGAACCACCGTGTTCCAGAGTATCTAGTCTGGAATTATCTCGTTGACCTTCTGAGAGTAAGTTCCGGGAACTTTTTGTATCCCTGTCGTTATACTCAATTGGGTTTTATTCCGCAGGCTTTGAAGCATCTGCATGACCGCGAACTGGTTCATTTGGATGTTAAGCCAGAAAATATTCTCATATCCCACCATGGTATCCTCAAACTAGGGGACTTCGGCCTGGTCTACGATTTGAAGGTAACTGATTGCAGTTTTCATATTATTCAGTACGAGGAGTCAACAATTTTTACTTTTGTTTTACAGGATGAGGGGTCCCAAGTGTCTCCTACGGAAGGAGATTCAAAATATCTTGCCCCAGAGTTGATTGAGAAAGGACTCTATACGAAAGCCGCTGACGTATTTTCTCTTGGACTCACTATACTAGAAGTTGCCGTTGATTTAAACGTACCAGGTTCAGGCGACCTATGGCAAGCATTGCGCGAAAGTCAACTACCATTGTCTCGCATAGCGTCTGTCGGTCTGTCAGACGAACTGGTGCAAGTAATAAGGATTATGCTGAATCCTGATCCATTGCTCCGTCCTTCAGTTGGCGAGCTTCTTCAACTTGATGCTGTGAAGCGTCACCTAATGATGCGTCAGTGGAAGACAGCAGCCTGGGATAAGGTAACCTCTTTTAGATGATCTTAATTGTCATCCCATTCTTCCATACCAATCGTTCATAGTGAAAAAAGAGTCCTGAAATCGAATCCCGGATGTACTTTAAAATGTAGTTATGACGTGGTTTCTCTCAAACAGGATTTAAATGAATTGTTCCGTTTTATTTCTGATGGTCCCCCTTCGAAGGTATTGTGCGGTGATAATCCTGTATTTTTTTGCAAGCTCTTAGAATTTCTGCTTAGTTAGGATCATTGTGAAGTAGAATGCTCCAAATGAAGAGTAATTGCTTGTTTCAAATTGCAGTATGCATCTTCGAAGAAACTATGAAACCAAAAGACATTGAAACACGTTTTGGATATTGAGACGTGCTAAAATGGGTGCAGATGTCCTTGGTAACGAAATTTTCTTTTGAAGGATGCTGCGGTAATGCGACGCGTAAAATTTCCGCCGGATTTTATTAATCTTATGTCATTCTCTTCCCTGTTGAACGTTCAATTTCTTCATTTTCATAGGTTGACGACTACAGAGAAACGATGTTAGGATTTTCCCGTAAAACCATGAAATTGGTTTTATTTGCCTTTTGGTGGATCTTTGGTTGGTTTCAATCATCAAATGCTCCCTCTTCGGTGTCTACCAGCGAATCTCCTCTGCTGGACTCACCGTCGAACATGCGAATGGTGGAAAGTGATGAAGATGAGTCAAAAAATGGAACACCGCCTCATGTGCAGTCTTCGTTCAACAACATTACATCGATGAGAGCGAAAAGTACGTTGTTCGCATTTTTTCACGGAATCCAAGATACCAAGAACTTCTTCATCACGGATTTCTTACAAACTTTTCCAGCTGCAAGAAAAGGTTCTCCGATTTTCTCTGCTGTTGCTTCCGGTGCGAACTTGTTTAAAGCAACTTCCACTCCAGTGCACGAGATGCAAAAACCGTCCTGTTACCTGAATACGCCGCATTTGACCCCAGTCCCTTCGCGATCACCACGATCGTAAGTTTTTTCGAACACTTCAGTTGCTTTTCACGTGATCAATCAGTGTCCCAATTTCTTGGATATTATTTTCTATTCCATGTGTGTCAACTTACTCTAGTTACATTTTATTGGATCTTTTGCTTAGGAAAATTACATCTGGTTAGTTCGAATTAGCCTTGGTCATTTTGAGTGTAAATAGAATATTTTTCTTTAATTTCGTGTAGGAAAGTTAGCAAGAATCACTTACGCTTTGCTTTACGACGGTTACTGAAAGTCACGAGTGAACTATCATAAGACGTAATTCGTTGTGATTGAGCAATTTTTCTGTCATCATTCTACCAAATTATTTTATTTCATTAGATGACGATAAAAATCAATTATGGATATTTCTTTTGTTGTCGCTTCGGGAGCATTTTGCCGACAATCAAGTCTTTTTGTGAGGCCTCCCCGAATTTAAAGGACTGTCCCCAAGTAATGAGTTCCAGTTATTCATTTTTGAATTTTGAGTTGAAGTGTTGTATTACGTTAATTTTGCAGTGTGGGAAGTGCGATGGCGAGACGAAGGTTGAACATGGACGAGAGTGAACCGTCAGAAGATGGAACCCCTGCAGCTGGAGGCGATTCTCAAATGTTGAGTCGTAATCTATTCGCTCGAACTCCTGCGGATGTTAGTGCTGACGAAGAAGAAGAAAAAGTCAGATTTGGGGGAACGGATGGAGAGAATATGTATAGTGGATCTCCGAGCCTTCGTCGAAGAGCTGCGTCAAAGAAAAAGATCTTGAAGAAACGCGGACCTTCGGCTGCCGGCAAAGGACCCGGTGCACTGGTTACAAATTTGTCCAAAAAATTCGGACCCAGTTCCGATGTGGAATAGGGTGGTTTTTTTTTTTTCAAAGTTTTCGAGGGTTTTCTAAATGTTGTGACTTGTGCTGTTGTCACTCCTCCGAGTTGTGCTATCGACCATTTCGGAGCGAATGTATGAGGAGGTTTATCATTGTTTGGATTCATCGCTCCATTTGCTCAGTTCTGTTCATGTTGGATATTTTTTCACCGCGAGGCATTGATCTTTGATATCCCCCTCCCCCAAAAATGAAATTTTTATAGCATTCGAACATCCATTTCGACATCGTCGGAACTATTTTCATTTCAGTGACGTGGTATATCTTGTTCTTTATGGATCCTGATGATATCTGTTTCAACTGAATGTGTACGTTTCGCCTCTCGTGTTTTGTGATATCATTACCTCGGACTTTGGCTCGATAGTCGATCTCACATTCGATTTTTGCAAGCACGACTTCGTGTGAGAAATTAAATTAGATTGCTCAAACTTCTGAAATACTAATATTTCTCAGGTTTGAGAACTAACAGAAGTTGCCAAAAGGATTAATATTTAACGGAGGTGCGAGTGCGATTTTGACGAAAAGCTGTTTTGATTTGAAATTGCGGACCAATCGACGATTCATGACATCGTTCGCTCAAAGAAATTTCGGGTCGAATGCTCAATGATCGTAGTGTATTTTCATCCATTGACTTTGCTTGTTGTGAACAGCTTCCCTTGATAATGCTTCAAAAGATCTATGTAAATTTTGTAATTTTGTCAGAATTCATAGAGTAGTTTTGTTGGCTGAAGGGACTGATTGCATTTTTTGTCAATGAAAATTTATTTGAAACTTTTCAGCGTCTGTGGAAAAGTATGAGACACAGCCTCGATCAAAAAACTTCGTTTCATTTCACAGTGGTCGAAAAACTTCGTCAGAATATATGAAGGAGCAGTCGACCGTAATGATGCTCTGACAGCTTGCGTCGCACAGCTGTTCGCAAAAGCATAGTTATTATGCTGGATTCAGGATTGATCTTATTATTTCACGACTTCATGCAGGCTATTCTAGTCTCCAGGGTGAGCATTTATTTTGGGGGTTTTAATTTTGGTTCGAATCCGGCCACTCGTTAAACGGAACACACTTCAATCCACTGTAACTGTACGTTCAAACTTTGCATTAGAATATGACGAGGAAATTAATAAATAATTGGAACAGTTGGAACATTTATTTATATACTCAAGTTACTGTTGCAAGTACCGTGTTTGAGTACAAATAAGTCATATTTTTTAAAATGAATTGCTGGTAGTTAATCTGGTCTTCCTTATGAAATTCCTGGAGTATATGTCAACTGACGCCAAATAAAATCTCTGTCTTCCAAACTATAAATAATGTATTTTCTAAATTTCACTATGTACATGACATGTGCCTCCAAAGCCCAGCCTGGAGGAGAGACATCTGTAATGCCCAGGTTGTTCACTGATGGAGAATCCATGCTTTTGTTTCCCTGTCCGTGTGCACTGTGCCGGAGCAATAAAGCCGAGCAGTCCCCTATGTATAATATACTGTATGCGCACTGAGATTGTTCGGCTCCAGGATTTATCCCCTTTTGTTCGGATGATTGCGCCCTCCCCGCGCTTCCACGACTGCTATGTGCAAATATGGTTTAGCTGTTGAGAATACTCCCTTAATTTACACTGTTCTTGTGGTTCTGTCACAATTCAGGGAATGAGTTATTTACGAATGTATGTTGCATACTAGATTCGGGGAAGGTATAATTCTTTTGGAGTGGACGACTGCTATCGTCTACTTTATTTTACTTCGAAAATATCTTATAAATGCCATATACTGTATCACCCTTTCAGATTTCATGAAATACCAGCTGCAGGGCAATGTTCTGACTCTGTTATTGTGGCATTTGTACGCAAGATTGAAAAGTATTTAAGTTTTGGTTGGTTATGATGTGCATATATCAGCATATTTACTTTCAGTTCATCAGGTAAAGTTTCATTACAGTATCTGCGACATTATACAGTACAGTACTATGGAAGCAGCAATTTTTGTACCCAGGAGAGGCACAAAAAATCGTATATAGTCTCCTGTGTGTCATTTGCATGCTGTTAGACAGTGCATGACATCTTTTGACATGTATAAAATCTGCACTGTAATGTGAACTCTTGAAAACAAACCTCGTTTAACTAAGGTTATTATATATGACATGAACTAAAGATATTCGTTACACAGTCTGTGCTGGAAATGCGAGAACATCTCTTGTCATTCATGCTTGAGAATGGCAAAAATTTCTGCTGCCTTGGAAAATGTACAGCTTCAATGTAGGTCGATGATGACAACGAAGGTCCAATCTAATTGAACATATCACACCGCTTCTAATCAAATACAAGAAGTATCTGCTACATATTATAATTCTCCATCGAATGATTTTTTATGCATTTAATTACAGTATGTGATGAGCGATATGCAGGATGTATCCCGCATCCTCTTTATCTGCTGCTTCACTTCGGCGCTTCTGAAAGAGATCGAAAAGGAAAAAAAATAATAATGAAACTAACATTTTACGGATTATGCCGTATACCAAATATCAGAACCCGGCCGGAGCGAATGACCATCACGGCATCACCGAAGTATATGATGACGCATCTAAGAAATGAAAGTACACTGTACAGTATCGCGAAGTTGAAGAAAAAAGTTGATGAGTTAAACTTGCAAAAAACTTTTTATTTCTTCGTCACTCTCGTCACGTACTATATCCTGCTTCTTCGACGCAACTCTTCCAACGTTTTCGCTCATAAATACCGCGCAATTCAAGGGGAAAGTAGAGAGGGAGTCACGAAAACATTTTGCGTATCCCGCTCGTCAGCCAGTCAGCAGAATGTAAAAGTGGTACTACTGTTTAGTTCTACAGTATATATATAATAATCTTCGTTTCATCTATTTTTTAATCTCTAAAGAATTGAAGTGTTCTGTGAATTTCAATAACGAGATTAACGACTTTGATTATCGTTCGGGTAAAAGAAAATGGGATTAATCGACTCCATCATAATTTCCTTCCTCTAAAGTAGCTTAAAGGGGANCTGAAATACTAATATTTCTCAGGTTTGAGAACTAACAGAAGTTGCCAAAAGGATTAATATTTAACGGAGGTGCGAGTGCGATTTTGACGAAAAGCTGTTTTGATTTGAAATTGCGGACCAATCGACGATTCATGACATCGTTCGCTCAAAGAAATTTCGGGTCGAATGCTCAATGATCGTAGTGTATTTTCATCCATTGACTTTGCTTGTTGTGAACAGCTTCCCTTGATAATGCTTCAAAAGATCTATGTAAATTTTGTAATTTTGTCAGAATTCATAGAGTAGTTTTGTTGGCTGAAGGGACTGATTGCATTTTTTGTCAATGAAAATTTATTTGAAACTTTTCAGCGTCTGTGGAAAAGTATGAGACACAGCCTCGATCAAAAAACTTCGTTTCATTTCACAGTGGTCGAAAAACTTCGTCAGAATATATGAAGTAGCAGTCGACCGTAATGATGCTCTGACAGCTTGCGTCGCACAGCTGTTCGCAAAAACATAGTTATTATGCTGGATTCAGGATTGATCTTATTATTTCACGACTTCATGCAGGCTATTCTAGTCTCCAGGGTGAGCATTTATTTTGGGGGTTTTAATTTTGGTTCGAATCCGGCCACTCGTTAAACGGAACACACTTCAATCCACTGTAACTGTACGTTCAAACTTTGCATTAGAATATGACGAGGAAATTAATAAATAATTGGAACAGTTGGAACATTTATTTATATACTCAAGTTACTGTTGCAAGTACCGTGTTTGAGTACAAATAAGTCATATTTTTTAAAATGAATTGCTGGTAGTTAATCTGGTCTTCCTTATGAAATTCCTGGAGTATATGTCAACTGACGCCAAATAAAATCTCTGTCTTCCAAACTATAAATAATGTATTTTCTAAATTTCACTATGTACATGACATGTGCCTCCAAAGCCCAGCCTGGAGGAGAGACATCTGTAATGCCCAGGTTGTTCACTGATGGAGAATCCATGCTTTTGTTTCCCTGTCCGTGTGCACTGTGCCGGAGCAATAAAGCCGAGCAGTCCCCTATGTATAATATACTGTATGCGCACTGAGATTGTTCGGCTCCAGGATTTATCCCCTTTTGTTCGGATGATTGCGCCCTCCCCGCGCTTCCACGACTGCTATGTGCAAATATGGTTTAGCTGTTGAGAATACTCCCTTAATTTACACTGTTCTTGTGGTTCTGTCACAATTCAGGGAATGAGTTATTTACGAATGTATGTTGCATACTAGATTCGGGGAAGGTATAATTCTTTTGGAGTGGACGACTGCTATCGTCTACTTTATTTTACTTCGAAAATATCTTATAAATGCCATATACTGTATCACCCTTTCAGATTTCATGAAATACCAGCTGCAGGGCAATGTTCTGACTCTGTTATTGTGGCATTTGTACGCAAGATTGAAAAGTATTTAAGTTTTGGTTGGTTATGATGTGCATATATCAGCATATTTACTTTCAGTTCATCAGGTAAAGTTTCATTACAGTATCTGCGACATTATACAGTACAGTACTATGGAAGCAGCAATTTTTGTACCCAGGAGAGGCACAAAAAATCGTATATAGTCTCCTGTGTGTCATTTGCATCGACAATCTGTCACGTACTGTAGAAAACTGTACATATTTTAGACGTGACATTACACTTGAGAACTTTTGTTTGGAGCAAATTGATTCCAATAATATATACTGTACTTGATTTCTATAAGCAATGTGTCTGTGCTGGAAATGCGAGAACATATCTTGTCATTCATGCTTGAGAATAGCAAAAATTCCTGCTGCCTTGGAAAATGTACAGCTTCAATGTAGGTCGATGTTGACAACGAAGGTCCAATCTAATTGAACATATCACACCGCTTCTATTCAAATACAAGAAGTATCTGCTACATATTATAATTCTCTATCGAATAATTTTTTATGCATTTAATTACAGTATGTGATGAGCGATATGCAGGATGTATCCCGCATCCTCTTTATCTGCTGCTTCACTTCGGCGCTTCTGAAAGAGATCGAAAAGGAAAAAAATAATAATGAAACTAACATTTAACGGATTATGCCGTATACCAAATATCAAAACCCGGCCGGAGCGAATAACCATCACCGAAGTATGATATGACGCATCTAAGAAATGAAAGTACTGTACAGTATCGCGAAGTTGAAGAAAAAAGTTGATGAGTTAAACTTGCAAAAAACTTTTTATTTCTTCGTCACTCGTCACCAGGGCCGGCCCAAGCCTGCATGGCGCCCGTGTGCAAACCCTCACTTGGCGCCCCTATACACCTACATGAAAAACTGCAATCAGACAATATACAGTCAAACCCCGGTTTATGGACATTCTGGGTAACAAATTTTCAGTTTATGGACTGGCTCTGTTTTAGGGAAGTTGCACCTGCTTATGGACTGTAAACTGGCTTATGGTCTGTGGTCCATTTTGCTGACTGAAAAATTGTTAAAAATTCAATTTTCAACCAATTTTAAAATTGTCCACACTCTACACCTTTGCATGCACAAAGATGTTTTCTACATTTCCTTTCTTAAACATGCAAAATCTGAACATTTGACAGAATTACAACCAAACATGTGAAAAAATTTCTG